CTGGTAAAAGAGGGGGCAGTAGCTGCACTGGGGCCCCACACACTGTGCCCCAGCAGCCCCTCAACCCCAGCACCTGCAGCTGTCAAGGTGGTGGCAGAGTCAGGCCCCATTGCCAGCATTCTCAGAACCTTATCACCAGAGAACTACCACCAATGGGAAGGTTCCAGCACCAGCCACCCCAGCCCTTAGGCAGTACCTTATGTCACACCCTGAAAAGCCCAGTCATTCAGTGTCTCCAAGGCAGGCCTGGCCTTTGGCAGGTCCCATCCAACTACTACCTGGGAGAGTCCGGGCACCTGGCAGCACTTAGAATGGCAGTACAAGGTTGGGGAGCCAGTCAGCCTCTGTCCTTGGTAAGCCCACCCTTCTTTGCTGCAGTTGCAGAAATGTATTAGCTGTGCAATTTGTGGCAAGTTATTTTATCTCTGTCCCCCGTTTCCTGATCTGCAAAGAGAAAGGTAGTAATGGTTGTTGTTGTGAAATCAAAATGATATAGTGACTGTAAAGTGCTTAACAAAGTGACTGGCATATGCTAAGCACTACATTATTATTATTTCTCTAATTTAATGTAACTGTTCCATACTTGATGACTTTAAAGTGGTTTTCAAATACCAAAGATAATAAGATCAATGATTTTTATATGTGATCATTTGGAAATGCAATTGATGTCATCTGAAGTTTATTATTTGTGTTATTCAATAATAACATTTCTAAATTTTTAATATTTCTAAATTGCATCGTATTTCTAAAATCTCTTATGTTGTGAAATTTGAGAGACCATTGCAAAACAGAAATTCTGGTAGATAAGACAATTTTTAATCTGGTTTTTGTTACATAAGAATTGGGCTTTTAAAAGGATATGATAAAAATTAGATCTTTGAAAACTGTTAAATATTTAATAAGGTATATTTAATTATAAACAGGTAATCATCATCATCATCATCATATTTACTCTAATAGGAGATTTTCATTTGAAAACCTTGGCTATTTAATTAATTAATTTATTTGTTTGTTTATTCATTCATTCATTCATTTATTTGTTTATAGGCAATTGGGGTTAAGTGACTTGCCCAGGGTCACACAGCTAGTAAGTAAACCTTGGCTATTTTGAAAGTATATAAGGTGGTCTAAAGATGTAGCTTCAACATATTAATGGTGAATCAACTATTAGGTATTTGCCATATGTTTGAAGCCCCAGAATATGGGTAGTTTTATTTATAAATAAAGGATTAATGAAATGTTAACTGTTAGGGAAACATCAGGAAAATTCAAGCTCTAAGTTGAGGTTAGTGAAATTTTGGTATTTAAAGTAAAAAATTCTGGGATTGTAACTTATTATTGTTTTGAACTTTGATTACTGGGATAGTTATCTGTATTGTCAGTGAAAAATGGCATGTGCAGCAGTCTGAAAACTGCTAAAGTAGATGTTTGTGCCTGGGAAAGGTTGTGGGGATGAACTAGAACAAAGCCTAGGTAGTATACTCCTGACTGTATTTCTCCATTGTGCTGTTCCTTTCTGAAAAGGAAAATTCTCCACCTACTTAATCCTGAGCCTTGCCTTTAACACTCTGTGACTGTATGATTGGCTGTCAGATATGACTCATGCCTGGAAGCAAATAGAGCTAAGGGAGTTTTTCCCCTGTGTTATGACCATGTCCCTCTTTTTCCTTTCACACATATCAAATTTCTATAATCAAGAAGTTTTGTAAATACAACACTAAATCTATTAAGTAATAGATTGATACTGGAACATCTCTAAGCTATTATAATAGGATTCAAGTATGAACATCTCATAATTTTAACCTATATTTATGGTCAAATTATAATATAGGGATAATATCACCCAAAGGGGGAAATGATTAGACAAAGATGTAATGATAAAGGTTTCTAATTAAATGGAATAGCAAATTTTGAAAAAAAGCAACAGGATTAGACTGTTTCCTCTAAAGAACTATAAACAGTTGTATATGATTGGCTTCCAAAGTTTATCTATCATGGAAATACAGGCTTTGAGTTTTAGTTTTAAGTATAGTAATTTGTTTTGGTGATAAGTTCTCAAAACTGGATTAAGGATTTATTAAGGATTAATTGGATTTTACACAAAAATTGTATTGATAATGGTACAGATTTTTTAAGTATCTGATAATCTTAAAGTATAGAAGAGTTCATTTTTAGTTAGACCCTCATAAATTTTCAAAAGATTCTTATATCAGGTACAAGATTTAGGTAAGGATAGAAACAGAATATATATATATATATATATAATATATATATATAAAATATGTAAACTGAAATTCTCTGAAAGTTCAAAATTGGAGAACCAGATTTCAGTGATTGCATTAGATTAGGTCAGAACCTCTAGATTTGGAACCAGGGAAGCCCCTTTTAGAGTTGTCCTGGGAATAAAGATGTCAATGTTTAAGTTTTCTTGGTTAATTTGGTGACATGTAAATCTCCCTTCTCAGAACTAATCCACTGTGAGCCCCCTAAGTAATCTGATCTGTACCTGATTTGGGGAATTGTGAGAAAAGCTTTATTGCATTAATTCTGGATCATCTGAAGCAAGCCCCTGCTCCCGAGTAGACAGACCCAGAAGCTGCCAACATCCAGATGAGACAGCTGTCTCAAGATTCCAAATGAGGAGCTGAATCTACTGTCCTAGTTTTTTCCTCTCCCCTTTTGTTATGTACCCAACCACCAAGGCCCTGATCATTTTCTCACTCTGACATTCTTGGCCTCCTCTCTTTTTAATAAATTATCTGGGACACATTTCCCCAGTAGGTCCCTTCAAGGAACTAACCCCCGGGGCATATCTCATGACATATACCTACCTCTCTTTTATTGGCCATAAGGTAGGGGTTTTTTCAGACTCCCTTCCTTTGGCCAAAAGGGAGAAATGTCAAAATATTTTGGACATACTCTATTTCGCAGGGCTAAGGCTGTGTCCTGAGCTTGGCATAATAATAATCCTCTGTGCTGTTTAGGATGATATCACCCTCTGGCAATGTGTATTGCTTAGACCAGCACCAGGTGTTCACTGAGGGATTCAGCTCCCCCTGTTTCCCAGGGCCATATTCATAATCCCGGTTCCTTGTCATTGACAGGTACTGCACTCCTGTTCCCCTCATAGAACTCTGGTTCTGTGCTCAGCAGGGTGGGCTTGTCTCCAAAGGCTTGGGACAATACTATTCCCACAGGACCCATGGGAACAGTAACTCAAGACCTAAAAGTGATTATGTCATGGCCTACCCCAGGATGTATATAAGATCTGCCTTTCCAGCATGTTAAGCCCTCCTTCTCCTCACTCTGAAATTAATTAAACTTCTGTTTGTGTCCTGACTCTCCTCTCTCTAGCCTGCTCTGTTTGTCTGGCTCTGGCCACCCACAGATTAGAGGTCAGTTCTGGTTCAGTTGACACAAGAGAGATTAAATTTGTGCTTCTTAGTCTCAGAGGGCAATTAGGAACAATTGGTAGAAGTTGTAGAGAAGTAGATTTAAATGATCTAAGTGTAGTAATTTCCACTGTCCAAAAGCTGATGATCTGCTTTAGGAGGCTGAATGTTACATATATTATAGAACAGATTCTTCAGGTGGGAGATGGGCTAGATGACTTTTGAAGTCCTTTCCACAGGATCATGGATTCAGAGGTGGAAGTCATCTTAGAGGTCATCTGGTCTAACCCTCTCCTATTATAGAGGACAAAACGGCTAGTTTAGGTGACTTTCCCAGGCTCACAGATAGCAACACATAGGATTCAAGCCCAGATCCTTTGCCCCCAAATCCAGCACTTTTTCCTCTGCACTCTCCTCTATGAACCTGAGGTTCTGTTCATGCCATTGTCCTATTGTATTTTGTTGGGGTAATGACAACCTCAAAGGATGATGGTGTTGCTTTCAACAGTTATAGGGAAGTTTGGAAGGGAGGAAGGTTTTGGGGAAAAGTGTTCAGTTTCAGACATGTTAATTCTAAGATGTATATAAGACATCCAATTGGAGATGCTAGATTGGAGGTTGAGAGGTCAGGGCTGTATGGGTAGCGTTCAGAATCATCTGCATAGAGAATATAATGAATTCATGGGAGCTTTTGAGATCGAGTGAAATAATAGAGGGAGAAGAGCGTTCAGGAAAGTCTTGAGGATCCAAAATTAGCAGGTGAGGTTTGGATGAAAATCTATGAAAGGAGATTGAGAAGCAGTCAGACAGGTAGATGTAGAACCAGGAGAGAGGAGTGTTAAGGAAAGCCTAAAGACGGATAGTGTTGCATAAGAAGTCAAGATGAGGACTGAGAAAAGGACATTCATTAGATATGGCAATTAAAAAATAACTTTGGAGTGAGCAGTTTCAGTTGAATGATGAGGTCCGAAGCCAGCCTGAAGAGAGAAAAGAGAGAAGAAAGAAAGCGGGGGCATGTTTGTAAAACACCTTGGCAAGGAGTCGAAACGCAAAAGGGAGGAGAGACATAGGACCTCACAGACCTAGTGAGGGGACTTTGGTCTGTTTTTAGGATGGGGCATGTTTGTAGGCAGCGGGGATGCAACCAATAGACAGGGAGGGATGGAAGGTAAGTGAGAAAGAGATGATGGCAGGACCCCAAGGCTCACACCAGGAGCCGCTACGTAGCCCCGGGGGAGAATCAGGTCATTGTAGGGCGGGGACTCCCGCCCTGAAGGGCGGCCCTGCAACAGGAGGCTGCGCTGCCGAATTAAGAGGCGGGCTCCGGTCGCGACAGCGCCATGATGTCGCGACAGCACAATATCTGAACGTGAGAACAACACCCCACCTTCCCGGATGGAACGACCCTTACCACCATCCGAAGGGAAGTAAGTACTGGGCGGGACTCGGCCAAAGGAAGCGGGGAGGGCCCTCGTGCAGCTTCGGGAGACGTGGCCGGCCACGTGATGCGCGTCGACGCGCGCTGTTTCCGGAAGTCTCCGTCGCGCGCGCCCCCGCCCTCGCCGCCGCTGCCGCCGCGCTGCCACTGCCACCCGGTGCAGTTTAGGGGAAGGAAGGCTCGGGTGCCGCCGCCACCGCCACCACCGCCGCCTCTGCGACGCCGTCGGGGTGGGGGGGAGGGTGGGGTGACGACGAGGCTGCAGGATGGAGATGATCCGGAGCAGTGCGTGCCTCTTCTCTCCCTCTCTGCCGATTCCGCTATGTCCTCTCCCCACCCTCCTTCCCTCCACTCCTGGCCTGGGCTTCGACCCCCGGGCCTCTGTCAGGCCTTAGGGGCCGGGCCTGGAGACTGTCTGGCTGCTGCCCTCGGCCCCCCGGAGCTGCTGAGCGATGCATTTAGCCCGCGCGCCGCCTGTCCCTCTCCTACATCCCCACGTTGCTGCTGCTGCTGTCCCCTCACCCCCACCCCCAACCCCCAGCTCCCCTCGGCTCCAGGCAGCTTAGGGGCTGCGAGTGCTTTGGACGCCTCCGTCCACCCACGCCCTTCCCCCTCCCCTTCCCCTCAGCCTCCTGTCTTCGGATGTGGAGGGCTGAACCTGGGGCCCCAGTCTGAGCCTTTTCTTGGTTTCTCTGCAGATTTTAAAAATAATCTTCACAAAGTATACCAGGCCATTGAGGAGGCGGATTTCTTGGCAATCGATGGGGAGTTTTCAGGTATCCCGTCCAGGGTTTTGATAGCGTCTTCTCCCAAACCTTGCTTGTAGACGACTAGGGACATGATGTTGGGTCACCTGGTCCAGGGCCACGTTTGGTAGCATCTCCTATCCTAATGCCCCACCCTACTGAGTAACCTGGGGAAATTAATCTCTTCTTACTACGTTATGAAATGGGTGCATCTTGAAGAGATCCGTTGTGTTTGGTTACTTTTTGGAATCATTTTAGTAACTACAAATGCATCTTATAAAAAATCATGTAGGATAATATATATGAAAGCAATTAGATAGGTTTTGGTGTTGGTATGACACCTTCTGTTGATTGGGAAATAGGACAACTTACAAATGACGGTGAAGTTATGTAGTTGTAGACATATTATTGACAATCCAGAGGGTATGCATGTAATGCTGGGTCAGTGAACCTACAGCTGTATTTGTTGTTTGAACAAAAGCGTGATACTGTTAATTAAAACTGGCTTGATCACTTTTTTGCTTTGATTCAGACTCCTGAGTTTGTTCCCAGATTGATTAGTGGCTGAATTGATTGGCAAATATGGAAAACCACTTAATTGTTTATAAAGGAAATTGATGGCCTAGTTGGTCCATAAAATTCTCACAGCTCAAAGAGGCAGAGTTTACAGCTTGTTCTTAAATTGTAATTTTAGCAAAATTCTTTTTTTTCCTTGAAAATTTTTTTTGTTGATGGTACTAAGCATATTTTTTGGCCAAATTGTTTGATTCATTGTCTATGTAAAGTTTTTGGTTGCTGTTAACAAAAGCATTTTCAAAGAAAATCTGTCTTTTGGTGATGTTGCTAGCCTATCCACAAAATGAAGATTGATATAGATAGAAAAATATTCATCACCTGGAAGCCAAACTTCTGGTGATGAGCCTTTCTTAACTAGGCAGGTCCTTCCACAACATACAGAGTCCTTATCTGGTCCTGTTTCAAAGGATATATGTGAGCTTATGCTTTTACGGCATCGATTAGAACCTAGAACTACTTCTACAACATCAATAACGCGTCTAGTTAAGACTTTAATGGGATTAATATTCTTTAACTCCTAATTTATATGGCGTATTGATGTTTGCAGGTGTATTTCCATTTCTGAAAGAGACTATTTAACTGACTGTTAAATTAACTCATTTGAAAAATAAATTTACCCTCTCAAATTAATTCCATTGTGGAATTTTTTAGTATTGACTTAGACTGACAGATGAATGTATGTTTATAGATGATAATGCTTATTGTTAGTAATCAACCTTGATAAAAGAACTTCTATTTACTCATTTCGTGCAAAGATATGAAGCTGTGTATATTGTTCTGGAAAATATTTTCTTTACATTAGCATTGATTGATCATTTAATTTCTACGTGATGTGTTTAATCTTGAAAAGTTACTGAAATATTAAATTTCCCCCCCTAAATTTTAGGAATCAGTGATGGACCTTCAGTTACTGCATTAACCAATGGTTTTGACACCCCAGAAGAAAGGTATCACAAACTTAAAAAGGCAAGTTAGTTAAAAAACATTTTTCTATATTTTTCAGTCTCTTCCCCCCACTGAATTGTAGTGAAGAGGAATCATCTATATCTTTTTAAAAATGCACTTTTTAAACAAGGCCCAACCATAAAACAATGTTATTAATTAAAACAACAACATAATGATTTGTAGAAAACATTTCATGAAAATTTCGATATATTTGATTTAGAGTAATTTAGATATGGTTCTGTTTTTTAAAAACTTGGCTTTTGGCTAATATGACTTTTTGAAAGAAAGTAGCTACCCAAATATAAAAATTACAGTTACGATATAAAGATTGTCTGAGCACATCTGATAGGGCTAATTAAATAAATTGAGTTAAAAGCATTTATGTGATGTCCCAGAAACTTTCTGCCAAAGTGGAATTAAATGATGTAGAAATTCTGTTTGGTTGAACTATTATTGCTTCAATTGAAAGAAACTTCATTCTCCTCTGATATTGATAGACAAATTATTTTCTTCTTTTCCAGCATTCCATGGACTTTTTGCTGTTTCAGTTTGGCCTTTGCACTTTTAAATATGACAGCACAGATTCAAAGTAGGTTATTTTTTAAAGTCTTAATTATTCTGTTATTGTGGAATGATATCACCTCTCAATTTGCTTGTATCTTTCATTTTCATAGGTATATAATGAAGTCATTTAACTTTTATGTTTTCCCAAAACCCTTCAGTAGAACTTCACCAGATGTCAAATTTGTTTGTCAGGTTAGTAGCAAAATTTAGTTCTTTTTATTTGTCAATAGTTGCTTTTCCATTATTTGTAATCATGCATAGTAATAAATCATACTTTAAACATTTATTTCATCCCTTAGAAAATGCAGAAGATCAAAAGGCCTCAGAAGGAGCCCGTAGACAAATATAGAAAACACCTAAGACATTCAGAGGAACACTTATATAGGTAGTGAAAATTCATAAAGCACTCTTAATAATTCTTCTTAGAAGGAACTGGATTTATGGTTTTCATTAGATTAACCCTTTGAAATTTCCAGCAATTTCTTACAAAGATTCCTGTATAATCCTTCGCAGATTCATGTGTCACTTTGCAGAAAAACCATTAATTTCAATTTTTTTCTCCAAAAGCATTTTGTTAAAGCTAGATTTTCACAAATAGCAAAAGGAATTTATTTGAATTTTCTTTTCTTGTCACAAAATTGTGCTTGAATAAAAACTGAGATTATCTGGTCTCTCATTTTATAGATGAAGAAGTCTGTGCTCAAAGTCATACAGTGAATAGCAGAAGCTAGATTTAAACTGAGGTCTCCTACAATATGTTGCCTCTTTGTAAAAGGGTAGGGTTGAACTAGATGATCTCTAGAGTCCCTCTACAACTTTTTTAAAAATTAAATTTCATTTTTTTCAGTGAACAAGAACCTGCCTTCTATAGCCTCACTGCCCCAACCCTAAGTTTAAAAAAAAAGTTCTCCTCCCCCTGCCCCCAACAAATACTCATAAGCAAACAGATTCTCACATTAGCCATGTCTAAAAATTCATGTCCCACTCAGCATGTCTATCTGATCACCTCTTTGTTAGGAGGTAGGCAGCATTCTGAGTTATCAAGTTATCACGCTTCTGGAATCATGGAGGATCATTGAAATGGTCAAAGTTCTTAAATCTTTCAAAGTTGTTTGTTTTTATAGTATAAAATCTTATTTTCCTTATTTTGCTTAACTCTTTCTGTATCGTTTAAAAGTGAGGTTCAGGTGAGTCCCCTTTTCCATCCTTTCATTGTTTGTAGACTTCTATTTATCTCCCCACCATTGCATCTCTTTCATTCTCTACTGTATCCTTTTTCTCCCTCCTTTTCTTCTTTTAAGATCACTGCAACATAATAAAAAAAACCACAACATTCCCAGGCCTCCATCTTACTTGACTCCCTTTATTTGACCCTAGCTGATAATACAGTTCTCTGGGGATGCTTATATCATTTACTTCTCCCCTTCCCATTAGAATGCAATTATTTCAACTTCATAAAATCTTTTCAAATTGTCCACTTGTATTTATCTTTTTGTTTCTTTTTATTCTTATGTTTATGTTTCGTAGTTTCTACTCAGCTTTTGCCTTTTTGTCAGGAATGCTTGGAAGTCCTCTGTTTCATTTAAGATCCATTTTTTTCACTATGGGATTCTACTCAGTTTTGCTGGGTGAGTTATTCTTGGCTATAAGTCTTTGTCTTTTTACCTTTTTGGAATATTATAATCCATACTCTCCACTAATACCTGCTAAATCTTGTGTGATGCTGACTGTGGCTCCATTGTATTTGCACTCTTTATTTATGGCTACTTGTAATATTTTTTCATTGACCTAGAAGCTCTGGATTTTGGCTGTAATGTTCCGAGGAGTTTTCATTTTGAGGTTTCTTTCAGGAAGTGATAGTCTGTTTTTTCTGTTTTCAATTTATCTTTTGGTTCTAAGAGATCTAGCAAGTTTTCTTTGAAGATTTCTTGAAATATGATGTCTAGGCTCTTTTTGGTACTGGCTTTCAGATTGTTGAGTAATTTTTAAACTATCTCTCCTTAATCTGTTTCCCAGATGAGTTGTTTTTGCTTTAAATAACTTATATTTTCATCTTTTTTTCAATCTTTTGACTTTATCTTAATATTTCTTGTTGTTTCATGGAGTCATTAACTTTACTCTGATCTATTCAAATTTCAGGGAGTCTGTTACTTGGGTAAGATTTTGTACCTCTTGTGCCAAGCTGTTAATTCTCTTTCCTAGTCTCTCTTCCATTCTCTTTCCCAGTCTCTCCTCCCCTTATTTCTTTTCTACTTTTTTCCTCTTATCACTATCATTTCATTTATGTCATTTAAAAACTAACTTTTGTACTGTTTTTAAAAAATTTGTTTAGCATTTTATTTTTCTACAATTACATGTAAAAACAATTTTTTAACATTTGTTTTTAAGATTTTGAGTTCCAAATTTTCTCCCTTCCTTCCTCCTCACCCCTCTCATTGAGAAGTCAAACAATTCAATATAGGTTATACATGTATAGTCATGCAAAATATATTTCTATTTTAGTCATGCTATGAAAGAAAACATAGACCAGGAAAAAAACCCTCAAGATAAATAAAGAATGCAAAAAATGTATGCTTCAATCTGTATTCTTTCTCTAGGAATGGATAGCATTTTTTGTCATTAAGTCCTTCAGAGTTGTCTTGGATCACTGTATTGCTGAGAATAAGTCATTCACAGCTAATCATCTTAGAATACTGCTGTTACTTTGCATACAGTACATTTCACTGTGTATCAGCTCATGCAAGTCTTTCCAGGTTTCTCTGAGCACCGAGCTCATCATTTCTTACAGCACAGTAGTATTCCATTACAATCACATAGCACAATTTGTTCAGCTATTCCCCAATTAATGGACATCCCCTCAATTTCCAGTTCTTTGCCACCAGAAAAAAAGGCTATAAAAATTTTTGTACATACAGGTCCTTTTCCTTTCTATTTTTTATCTTTTTGAATATAGACCTAGTAGTGGTATTGCTAGGTCAAAGGGTAATATAACATTTTGGGCATAGTTCTAACTTGCTCTGAAGAATGGTTGAGTCGGTTCACTACTCCATCAATATGCATTAATGTCTCATTTTTCCCACATCCCCTCCAACACTGATCATTTTCCTTTTCTGTCCTGTTAGCCAATCTAGTAGGTATGAGGTAGTACCTCAGAATTGTTTTAATTTGTATTTCTCCAGTCAGTAGTTATTTAGAGCATTTTTTCATATGGCTATAGATAGCTTTGATTACTTCATCTGAAAACTGTTCATATCTTTAGCTCATTTATCAATTGCAGAATGGCTTTTATTTTTGTAAATTTGACTCAGTTCTTATTTGAGAAATGAAGTCTTTATCAGAGAAACTTGCTTCAAAAATTTTTTCAGTTAATATTGCTAACTGTATTTCCCCCTATCCTATTTCCCCCTCTGTTTATTCTGTTGTCTCTCTCCTTTCAGCCTGTCCCTCCTCAAAAGTGTTTTGCTTTTGATTATTGCCTACCCTAATCTGCCCTCCTTTCTATCACCCCCTTTCCTCCCAATCCTCTTCCCCTTCCCTTACTACTTTCTGGTAGGGTAAGATAGATTTCTATACCCAATTGAGTGTGTATGTATGTTATTCCCTCTTTGAGCCAGTTCTGATGAGAGTAAGGTTCACTCACTCCCCCCCTCCACTCCCCTTCCATCTTCACCTCCACTGTAAAAGCTTTTTCTTGCCTTTTATGTGAGATAATTTATCGCATTCTGCCTCTCCCTTTCTCTTCCTCCCAGTGCATTTTTAGATATCCCTTCATATTCAACTCACCTATGCCCTCTGTTATACTATCATCGTCCCATGTAGAAATGTAAACAGTTTAACCTTAAGTCCCTTATGATTTGCCTTTCCTGTTTACCTTTTTATGCTTCTCTTGAGTCTTGTCAAATTTTCTATTCAGCTCTGGCCTTTCATCAAGAATTCTTGGAAGTCTTCTATTTCATTGAATGTCCTGTTTTCCCCTGAAGGATTATACTCAGTTTTGCTGGGTAGGTGATTTTTGGTTGTAATCCTAGCTCCTTTGCCCTTCAGAGTATCATATTCAAAGTCTTGTGATTCTTTAGTGTAGTAGCTGCTAAATCTTGTGTTATCTTGACTGTGGCTGTGTCATAACTTGAATTGTTTCTTCCTGGCTGTTTACAGTATTTTCTCTTTGACATGAGAACTCTGGAATTTTGCTATAGTGTTCCTGGAAGTTTTCATTTTGGGGTCTCTTCAGGAGGTGATTGGTAGATTCTTTCAATTTCTGTTTTACCCTCTGATTCTAGAATATCAGGGTAGTTTTCCTCGATAATTTCTTGAAAGATGATTTCTAGGCTCTTTTTTTTGATCATGGCTTTCAGATAATCCAGTAGTTTTCAAATTATCTCTCCTGGATCTATTTTCCAGGTCAGTTGTTTTTCCAGTGAGATATTTTACATTGTTTTCTATTTTTCATTCCTTTGGTTTTGTTTTATTGTTCCTTGATTTCTCATAAAATCATTAGCTTCCATTCGCTCCATTCTAATTTTTAAGGAATTATTTTCTTCAGTGAGCTTTTGTACCTCCTTTTCCATTTGGCCAATTCTGCTTTTGACAGCGTTCTTCACATTGGATTTTTGTACCTCTTTTACCATTTGGCCTATTCTGTTTTTTAAGGTGTTATTTTCTTCAGTATTTTCTTTACCAAGCTGTTGAGTCTTTTTTCATGATTTTCTCGTGTCACTCTCATTTCTTTTCCCAATTTTGCCCTTACCCCTCTTACTTGATTTTCAAAATCCTTTTTGATCTCTTCCACGGCCTGAGACCAATTCATATCTTTCTGGTGTTAGAGATTTTGTTTTCTTCTGAGTGTGCATTTTTCTCTTCCTTGTCACCATAGTAACTTTATGTGGTCAGAATTTTTTTCCCGTTGTTTGCTAATTTTCCCAGCCTGTTTCTTGACTTTTAACTCTTTGTTAAAGTGGGACTGTCCTAGGGTGGAGGATGTATTGTCCCAGTGCTTCAGGGGTTTGGTGTAGCTGTCTTCAGAGATACTTCTAGGGACCTGTAAGTTTTCCGTTCTTCCAAGGTAGTATGTGCTAAGGAGAGTTTTGTTTACTCCTCTCCTGGCCTGTGCTCTGGTCTGTGAGTGACCACAGGCACTCTTTTCTGCCCTGGACCTGTGACGAGGGTCCCTGCTCCATTGTGGCCACAAGCTCTGCTGTGCTAGTGTTCCTCTTCATCCTGAGACTGCCACCCAAATCCGAGTACGGGTAAAGCAACAGAGTCCCCAGGGCTAGCAAAGAAACTCTTGTATTCTTCTTCTGACCAGTTGTTTGAACCCCTTACCATCTGTGGCCTGACAGCTCCTGAAGCAGCTGCTGCTGCCACTGATTCAGTGGCTCCCAAGGCCAGCTTCTGGTTTTCTGGGGTCTAGAGTGTACTGGTACAGCCTGTGCTCCACTATCACCCAGGTGCAACAGACCTTTCCTGCTGATCTTCTAAGTTGGCTTTGGTGGGAAAATTATTTCACTCCATCCTTTTGTGGGTTCTGCTGCTCCAGGAATTGTTTTATGGCATTATTTAAAGGTGTTCAGAGGAATTTGGGGGAGAGCTTAGGCAAATTGCTGCCATTTCTCTACCATCTTACCTCCACCTAACTTTTGTACTCTTGTATAATTTCTTCTAATAATTCTAATTGATGTTTTGGGCTAGCTGTGTTTTGCTTTGAGACATTCTTTCCTTGTAAATTTTTCGGAGTTATATTCTTCTTTTGGGTTTGTGTTTTGGTTATCCCTGGACTAAAGTAGATCTTTTTCTTTTTTTATTTAGTCATTTTTCCAGCAATATGTTCTAGGCAACCCAGTTATTGCTGGACTAGTAGGGAATATTTTTGGGGCTGAGTCTGTGATCCTGATTAGTCTGAGAGATCCCACCAAGCTACTTTTTCTAGACAGTGCTCTGGGCACTGAGCTTCTGGCCTGGTCTGAGGCTGAGTTCACGACTAACTCTGGACATCCCTGCACTGCACAGGAACTCTGGGAGCTGAATTTCATTGACACTGCACACCACTGACTTGCTGCTGTGTTCCCAACCACAAGTCTCAGTTGTGAGCTAGTAGATGATTAGCTGAGGAGTCCTTGAGCTGTGGTCCTAAGTCCCTTGGGCTTCCTGGGACAACCTTATAGTTAGCATGGGCCCAGGACTGAATGATCCACCTTGGATATCCCTGTGCTGCTGGACTAGCTTGGAGCTCTGGGCACTGAGTCTGTGCTCTTGCCCTGAGCTTTTGGGCAGGAGTTTGTGACCAACTTTGGTTGTCCATGAGCTTTTGCCCTACCTCAGTGCACTGGTTGTTGAGTCTTTGATCCCAGCTAACCCTTGTTCCACAGTGCCTGCCCTAGTCTCTTGCCTGTAGGTCAAATTTGTAATCTTGGGCAGGAAAGGTAATTTCTCCTTCAATTTTCCTTTTGCTACTCTGTCATTCTTCTTAAATTACTCTTGGTGTAGTTGTGTGGGAACTGGGCTGTACTGTTTCTTCCTACTTTTCTCTCTTGGCTATATCCTGCTCAATAACATTTTATGATTTCATGAAGTTAAGAAGATGTGGGTTAAATGAAGACAGACTTGTGTACTGAATACCATTGTTAGGAACTTGAGAGCATCCTTTGAATCTTGTAGTTTTAAATTTAGGACAAATGAAATAAAGTATTACAAAGTTAATAGTAAAGTATTGGTCATTAGTAAGATAAGTAAAATATTACAAGTCAATAGCTCCAACAGGTAGTAGAGATAATAATATATAGCTTTAGGAAAAATTTAGATCATTGCATAAATCATGTAGTTACAGTTGGTTAAGAAAAGACTGGAATGTTTTTAACTTTTGAAGTTAATGTCAGGAAGGACAACCATGCCCATCTACAGCATTCTTCAGTGCCACTGTGGGACAGCTTGTACTGAACTGGATAGATTACGTGTTTTTTTTAGATCACATATTTAATCCTCTATAGTTGTAGTGAAGTATTGAATTGTGAGAATGTTCATCTGTAGAAGGAAAGAAAGCAGAACTCTTTCCTTATCAAGAGAGTGAATCTTGGCCATAGAACTGGGAGAAAAACAAAAGGGAAAAGTGATTCTGACATTACTATGCTTGTTATTAAACTCTAGGAAACTGCTGAGTATAATGCATTTTTTTTAAATAACTTAAAAGTTTATGTCTTTTTTTTAAGGATCTATTTATTTTTTGACCTGAAATTATGAAAATCTAGCTTGAGTTGAATGTTTATTTTTGCAAAAAAAGACTAAAAATAGTATACCTATGTGTATATTCCATTTAGCTTGGTGGGATATTACTTGAATATTTTTTGTAGTCAGACATTCTGTTAGACTTTCATACTTTTCTCATTGTGCCAATCTATCAGCTAAAAAACCTTTGTTTCTACTTTATTTGTACATAGCATAAATGTTGTATACCTTGACTTACACGGTAGATATTTTCCTGAAATTGTGTATGGTGAAAGAATTTTATTTGCAAGAGATAGAAATCAGAATTAGCATCAATGAATAATACATATTCATGGTGAAATGAATTCTTGGTATATCTTGGAATAGTAACCTATTTCTAAGTATAGGTAGAAATAGCATATTGCTACTTTTGACTTTTTGTCTTTACCGTCTTTCACAGATGAATTTCTTCTCTGCTCCTAGGCACAGCTTTAGAGAGCACATTTCACTATTAACATATGTTCTCTTTTCTCTTTTGATAGAGCTCAAGCATAGACTTTCTGGCAAACCAAGGATTTGATTTTAATAAAGTTTTTCGCAATGGTAAGATTAGTTTTTATTTGCCTTCAAAAGTAGTGAAGCTTCTGAATTTAGTGGGACATGGATCTGTGTGTAGTTTAATTGTAATTTTATGCATATTATCTGGAGAAAATGTGTGACTGGGAAAAAATATGGATCAGTCATCTATTGAGAGTTAGAGAACTAATGGAGGTCCTTTGTGATCTATTGGTATTCATTCAATGTTAAGAGAATGAGAGGAAGGCACTTGTTAGATGGACCCCATTGTAGTAGGTTTTGGAGGTGTACAAGATTAGTTCAGGATGAATAGGCATGGATGAGTTTTATTCTTCATGGTGATAATAAGCTCATAGATCCTCAGACTGGTTTGTTAGCCAGTCCCTGTACATTGCATTCCATTTCCTGAAATGCACTGTCTCCTTACCTGTGCCTGATAGGATTCCTAACTTCCTTCCAAGCTTGGTTGCTTGAATGTTAAACCTGAATGAGGCCTTTCTTGATCCCCTCAGTTGTTAGTACTCTTGTCCTCTTGACAATTATTTTTTGTCCCACTCTAAAAAGGTGAAAGTATCATGTAAAGTAATAAGAGGAAGAAAGTACTAGTTTTTATGCTGATTTTTCTTGTTCCTTATCTGTTGTATTGCAGCCTGCTCATATTCTAAAAGAAGACTGTAGCATTCCATGCTTGTAGTGAGTCAGTCACAACATCAGTAGAATATTGACTTTAGAAAGATGGGCCTTTATTTCTTCAGCATGAAGCCTTTCCTAATCCCCTTGTAGTAGTTAATACTTTCTATACTGAATTTTTTTTATTGGTTTGTATATATTTTGTCTTTCTTTTCTGAACAGTGTTGAGCATAGGGCATTGTGCACAGTAGATAGTTAAAACTTGCACCAAGATATTGTGAGTTAATGAAAAAAACCTATAGTGTAAAATATTATCAAGTTAAATTAGAGATATCTCTGTGGTTGATATATAACTGGAGTGGAGGATTATGGCAGCTAAATAATGATTCTTTTTTATGGAGTAGGGCATGTTTGCTTTAGTATTTCACCACTGAGTAGTGATTATATTACTTGATGTATATTTTACCTCTTTTTAAAATAATTTATTTAATAAAATAATTGTTTATACATCTTTACATATAATTTTATATATATACCCACTTTATCAAGTTTTATTCCTTGATTAGAGATAAAGATAGAGAAAAGGACTAGACTTAAGGTTTCTAACCACGCAGGGCAACACCTTCTCTGTAACTCAGTCTTGATTATTGCTTTCAAACATGTATTGATTTGTTTGAAGTATAGTCATTAGGACTTAAGAATCTGTGTATCTGTTTTATGCAGAGCTGAAAATACTAATGCAAATGGCTTAATTACTGCATTTTATGTATCTTATCCTGTTCCAAATATTTGCCACGAAGGCAAAGGCATCATTTATTTAGTAAGCATTAAAAGCCTATTGAATGCCTAATAGCATTAAGCATATAGGAGATGTTCAGTAAAGGCTTTTGCTTGATAAAACATGCATCAATGACACAATTCGTATTTTTTCTATATTAGATTCAAAAGTATTTTATGAACTTGGACTATAAACAGAGGCTGATTTTTTTCCCCTTGCAAACATAACAGAATATTTATAAATATCCATGTAACTGTTGTATTTTAAGGTAATTAATCACCCTTGCCATTCTAACTGTGCTGCCATGGCATTTTTGCAACTCCTTTTTTGCAGCTTCCTTGAGAGCAGAGTTTATGTTTATTTTGACTGTACTTAAGCTTGACAAACCTTGGTTCATTGAAGGTGAAAATAGCCAGAACTCATTTGGAATTGCATATATATTAAGGTGGATGAACAAGTTTGATAATTCTGTATTTTGTCCAAAATGAGAGTATCTAATGAGAAAACGGATTTTTGGGTGTCTGTGAATGGCTACAAATTGATTCTTAAGATGGTTGCAGAAGAGGTATTGCAGAAAAGTTTTGGAGCAGTGGCAGCTTGGTTGGAAAAGATTTGTTGCCTCCTAGGATGTCTCTTGGAGGATAATATCATTTGCATATTCAATATCTAACACTTTGAAAGCTTTTTTGTTATTTGTCCTGCCAAGTATAATTGTTTTTTATGTTGATTCTGAGCTTTTTAAGCCTGGTTGTAAATCTTTGCTGAATTGCCATAATCTTATTTATTAAAAATTTTATATTCAAATTTTGTGTTTATTAATAAAATGTTATTTCTAGGAATCCCATATTTAAATCAGGAAGAAGAAAGACAGTTGCGGGAGCAATATGATGAAAAACGTTCACAATCCAATGGTGCTGGAGCTTTGTCATATTTATCTCCTAATGCTTCAAAGTGTCCTGTGATTATTCCTGAGGATCAGAAAAAATTTATTGAAAAAGTAGTGTAAGTTGTTATACCAACAAATAAAAAGTACATTCATTAATATAGTGGAATGACTTTAAGGTAGTGTTGGTACAGGAATAAAAGGTATTTCGGTTAGATTCTATTAAGTCAGGTTTTTATTGTCCACAGACTTAATGTTTTGCATCAATTTGAGTTATGGTATATACAAATAGATAAAATAATTAGCTATATTATAAGTGAAATTCCATGATATCACTTACTTACACTTGTTAATCTTATATAACAGTTCTCATAGTAAAAATCTTTTATTTGGCAAACATAATTTCATATTGGCTGTCAGCAGTTTTCATGCTTGTCAGAGTGATAGAATTGTTTATTTGCCAAGAGGAAGTATGATGTTAAGGATAGAGATAGGTATTTAAATTAAACTCTGTCTTCTGTTCTTTATTTAAAAAAAAATTGGAGATAAATGAGTGGATAGTTGGTGGAAAGAGGGGGTTAGCTAAGTTTTTAATGGAGAAAGCAATACATGTGGATATAAAACTAAATGAGGGTTTTAACAGTCTTACTCTGTGGTCTTGGAATTTATCTTCCTTAGAAGATGTAGTCTTTTTAAAAAAATTTATTTTATTATTTTTAGAAGATACAGTCTTGAATCTTGAATAGTTAGGGTACATCAAAATACCTAATTGATTATTTTTGAAAAATATTTTGGTGCTGTGCTGGAATTCGAACCTAGTGAGTCTTCTAATGCTATACCTAGTCTTTTAAACATCTATGTTTGTAATAGCAGGTAGTTTTAACATTGCTAACGTTTCAACCACAAATGAATATTTGTATGATATAGTCTAAAATTAAGAGATGAAAAGTCAATATGTAGCATTTTGGCTTTCCTACTACATTTTTTACTAGTGTATATTGACAGGCTTTTAATTTAAGGAGTAAAAATCTTGTAGAAAAGTGTCTAGACAGATATAAAAATGTAGAAGAAAACATGGTGGAAAATATAACTGCTTGTGTCTTTCACTGCTTTATTTTAACTGTGCTCTTGGACTGAGTTCTCCATCTTGAAAGAAGTGAAAAATTTTGTTTATATGCTGATATTTTTAGTTTAACAAATGCCATGGGAACAAATCTCCTTTTACCAGAACAAAATGAGGTGAAAGCATACATATGAGAAAGTTCCAAGTTCTTCAGCTGTGGCTCCGTGATGTGACGGGTAAAATGGAGGCCACAGAATTGTTTCAGGTTCTTTGTACGTGGCCAGGCTCAGCTGAAGAGACAGTCACACTTCAGCACTGAAATTGCCTAGAAGTCAGGGTTCACTACCATTCAGGGTTGTAACTGTGTCACACCTCCTAATCTCATCCTAAGAGATGTCATGGTACTGACTTCATCATCGAAGAGGAAGCCATAGCCTTCTGCCACATTCTGGGTTTTTTATTTATGCCCTTTGTATTGTGTCTGCTTCTTGACAACAAAGGTTTTAACAAGGAAGTTTATCCTTTGAAATGCATCCTCTTTATTAATTGAAGTATTATTACATCTGTTTTGTTTTTAAAGTTTAATTTTCAGACAAGGTTTACTTCATTAAATATAAGAATGTGAAACTGAAACTGACAGTGAATATGTCATTGTTCAAGCTAAACAAAAGGCACATCTTTTGTGGTACCCAGAAAGTTTTACTTTAATTTTAAAAAATCTTACCTATCTCAATTTTTTAAAAAGACAATGCCAGCACCAAGTTTTTACAAACTAAGTCTTTTTTTCCCCCACTAGTCAAATGTTCATTTATTGATCACCTCTTGTTTAAGGCTCTGCAGGAGATATAATAGGACTGTGGAATGATTTTTGTCTTTATGGAACTTAACATTAAGAGAAATTCCATTGCATTGGGAAAGCCTAGTACTTCAGATGATTGCTTCTTATATTTCTATCAGATCCAGGTCTTTTTATTTTAGTATTTTTTTTAAGGTTTTTTTTTGGGGTGGTGAGGAAATGGGGTTAAGTGACTTGCCCAAGATCACACAGCTAGTAAGTGTTAAGTGTCTGAGGTCGGATTTGAACTCAGGTCTTCTTAACTCCAAGGCCGGAGCTCTATCCACTGCACCACCTAGCTGCCCCCCAGTTCTTTTTATTAATGAAATGTAAATCATTTAAACTTTGGGGATCCTTATCTTAGCTCTCATTTACAGTGATGAGTCAGGTCACTGAGCAAAACTGTGTCTTCCCTTGGGGGTACTAGGGATACGCATGGGGAATATAGAGTTCTTTAATGTTGTTGTCTCAAGCCTCCATTCTAGTGTGTTCTCCCCAATGTCAGTTACCAGTGATTAGCATCCGAAGTTCTTTTAACCAGTTAGCATCAATTACCTGTTACAAATGAGTACTTACTGAGGAACTAGAGCCATAAGAGAAGTGCAAACATTTCCCCTCAACACCCAGAGGCACACTTTCCTTTACACTGCCTCAGTCCCTGGGGATAATGGACTCAGAGCAGTTTCTACAGAAAATCCTCCGTGTCGTATTCATTTCTAAATATGGCATAGCTGATGGACAGTTGATTCCTTGCTTGTAGAATCCAGCATCTTGGCTGTTGGGTCATTCTACGCCTGGGCCAGGACACGGTTGCTCTTCAGAACTATACTGGCTGCTTGGGTGCAGCTTTTCTTAAATTTTGGCATTGACTCCAGTTCCTGGGCCTCCGTTAGGTTTTATGACCTTTTGAAGTTCACAGCCTAGTTGTTTCCTTCTGTAATACTCCTTCACCTCAGGAAAGAATAGATGCAACAAGGGGAGAAGCAATTTCAAGGCCATATGCAGGGCCTTCATATGGCAGAGTAGGTCACTGGTGCCAGCTCCTTCCCACCCTTGAGGCTTATGGCAAGTCCTTCTTTTCTCACTTGGACACAGCTAGCCAGGAAGCTATAGAAGCTTATTATTTGATAGTACATTGTATATTTAGGCATTTTAATTTAATGATGTTAGAGAACCTAACTCATTCTATAAATATGATTTGCTTGGTTGTCTTATTCTGTTTCACCAGAGAGAAAATAGAGGATTTGATACAAAATGAAGAAAACAAGAACTTGGATTTAGAACCGTGCACAGGGTTGGTTGCTTTCTATATAACATTCTCTTCTTTTTTGGGGAAAGAAAATTATTTATGTGGCTTGACACACTGAGTCTTCTTTGATTAAACCCACTATGTAAAAAGCCTCTTTATCATAAGGTATAGATTGTTCATTAAGACACCAAATGACCTTACTTTTCTGTGGTCAAACTTCTTACTTTTGGGTTCATGAATTCTTGTTGACGTTAAAGCTGTGCTGCACCTTCACATATAAGAGGTCTCTCTTAGTAGTTGGTATTTTTTAAACAGCCTCTTAAATGAGTGTTAATTCTTCTTGTACTATGTAGGTGCTCTTTATGCAATGGCCAAAAGGAACATTTTAGATAGATAAGGATATTTTTTAATTACAGAATTGTTTTTCCTAACTCCTTTTTGATCATTTAATTTTCTCAGAATGTATCACATATAATAATTTTTCTTTTGCTTTTGTAGGTTTCAAAGGAAACTAATTTATCAGACTTTGAGCTGGAAGTAAGTGTCCATTTTGTATTAATTTCCCCTGGGAACTCTCTGGGAGGGACCCAAATTTTAAAAACTCTTAGCTTTAGGTTTACTTTTGAATTTTTGCTGTTTTGTCAAACCATACAGAGGAATAGCCTCCATGATGTACTACTTTGAAGGGTTTGGACTAGAAATACAGATTTTGTTTAAAGTTATACTGCTACTTTTTAAACTAGTGTACAAATGTGCTTTTAAATTAAATTAATTAAATCTACATCCAGCACTAATTTGCTGGAGAAAAATCTTGATAGGAAATTAAAATCTTTTAAGATGCTTTTGATTTTTACCATTGATTTGAGTTCAGAAGACTATAAAATGTTGTCATTTGTGCTGCTGTGAGATCTTTGGCACAGTTTAAGAGCTTGCTGCTTGGAGTATATATCATCATAATTAAGTTGCACAGTGTACTTACATTTCATTTGAGTGCCTTTTCTGAAGATACGTAACTAATGGAAAGATAAAGGCTATTTAGTAATTTCTATTTGTCTTTGAATTTTTTTAAAGTCTTAGTTTTATAGTTTAGTGTTATATATTTGGAAATTTACTTTGAACACAATAATCGATCTACGATAATATCTTGATTTAGGAAGTGTAGGGACGTTGTCTAATTTGCTCGGCTTGCTTCCTTGTTTAGGTATTCTTGCAGTTAATAGACAGTTCCAGTCAGACTGATACAAAGTATTTTACAACATAAGATACAGCTGTCATTTCTTAAACTTTTCCTAAAACAGAAAATTGTTAAATTCTTGAGTATTGAAGGTCTTGTTGCAAGCTTCAAATTAAATAGGATCTGTTAGATTTTAATAATAAGAGGAGTTGGGCAAAGTAGGTGCTTGCTTTCTTCTATCCTTGAAAGCAAGTTTTAACTATTGGGAAATTGAAAATTGCTGGTGTTAAGAAAATGTAAGAGTACATAATGTTTCCATGCGGTAAATAGAGCAAGATGAAACAGAATTCCCCTTTAATTTAGGTAAATTCTTAAATATTTAGCATTTTATTCAGAAATAGTGAGAAAATATAGCTAGAAAAGTTAATTAAACATTTTTCAGAGCAAGTAAAATTTTATTCTTTCTCTAGGGTTGTGTGGTTCATATTTAACGACAGTCATTTCATTTGGTTGAAATATAGATGGGCATTTATTATTCTAGGATTAAGCATGAGCTTTTAATTGTTGGCTATCAGTACTCATTTACAAATAATGCATTTTCCTTTTTCAGGTATCCCAAAGGCATCCATGTTGAGACTTTAGAAACAGAGAAGGTAATCCAAAAAATGAACCAAGATTACTGCTTAATATATATTGAGTTCATATAATAATATGTTGATACTCAATATTCACCAAGCTATCCATCTGTATCTTAGGCTAAGTTTTGTCATTTATGCAGATTGGTAAAATTGAAAGCCATTTGACAAAGTCTTCTACAGTATCCCTGTTGATTAGATAGATCCTCTTATAGTTGGGCAGGTTCAGAACTGGTTGAATGACCAGTTAGCAAAACATAGTTAGTGCTAATCTGGACAAAAGATTTTATCGAAACACGCTAAAATCTCCATTCCCTTGACCGTGTGTTTTTTCTTCATTGACTTGAATGAAGGCATAGACAGGTACCGTTCATCAGATTTGTAGGTGATGTGAATAGGGTGTGATGGCTCTTTGTTGGGTAACAAAATGTGATCTTGAGAGATGTGAATGATCAGCTGAAATAATAAAACTAAATTTAGTAGGGATAAATATAAAGTATTACACTAGGTTTAAAGGATCAACTTCACAAGTACAAGGTGGCAGAAGGTAAGGGGAGTGAGAATCCAGGAAGGTATTATGAGGTAATATTAGTATGTTATACACTTGATAGATCTTAAAGCTATTATATAACCATGATATTTTAACCAGCACCAACTGTGATGTGCTGTAGATAATAGATAATAAATGTGCTGAATAAATGACTGTTGAAAAAGAAATTAGAGATTTTAGTGGACTGCAAATTCAATGTTAGTCAGCAGTGTGTTGTGGCCATAAAAAAAGGTAATGTTGTCTCAGGCTACATTAATAGCCTAGAACAAGGCTAACTGAATGACTCTTAACAGGGGTTGTGATAAGGCTGATTATAATACATCTGGCAAATTGCTTTAGGTTCTGGATGTCACATTTTAGATAGGTTATTATTGAGCTTGAGCATGTCCAGAAGAAGAAAATCAAGTGGACAATCAAGTGTGTCATAGAGGATAGGTTGAAATGATTGGGGATATTTAGTTAGCAAAATGGGAGAATTAGGAAGGTGAGTCTTGATTTCTGTCTTTACATTTTTGTAGGATTGTCACGTGGAGACAGGGACATTATAGTGCATCACCTACTTCAGATACAAGTTATGTAGAGTAGGTGACTTTTAGAGTCCTTTCCGACTCTGCAAGATTCTGTGATTCTAGACACCAGAATCAGATAGATTGTAAGTAGAACTGCCCCAAAAGGTGCCCAAAGTATTAGTGACATTACTGAGAATTAGTGATTGATTCTAGTATAACATTTTTCTGAAAGCCTCAGAATATAAAGTTAAAACTGCTTAAAAGTCAGTTATTTTTTAAAAAGGTGTGAATGGAAAGATGGTTGAGAAGAAGTGTGGTACAATGGAAAAGGCCCTGGATTTGAAGTCAGAGGAGCTGGGTTTGAGTTCTGGGTCTGCTGATTACTATTTGTGTGATCTTGGGCACAGTGTTTCATTTCTCTAGACTTCAGTTTCCCCAACTGAAAAATAAGAGGGTTAGATTAGCTTACCAAAATCAGTTCTGGCTATGGATAAAATGTGTATTTATAAGCAGATCTAGTTTATCCAAGATTTAGAGCTCTCAGGTGTATTCGTGTTCCTCTGTGAAAACTTAAAATGCATAAATTGTCAGAGGAGTGAATATTGTTGAAATGTTTATTTTTATTGTATTTTCTTTTATTTTTAGGCAATTGGGGTTAAGTGAGTTGCCCAAGGTCACATGGCTAGTATTTGGTCTGAGGCTGGATTTGAACTGGCCCTGAGTTCAGGGCCAGTGCTCTGTTCGCTGTACCACCTAGCTGCCCTCTGTGAAATGTTTATTTGATATGATATGTAACATATCATAGAATAGCAAGTTTTTTCCCCACAAATAGCCAGAAATAGAATGAGAATTTTCAAAGCATTACTTTAAAAAAATTCAGACATCAAATAAACTAATAACCAAAAATGTTTAAATGCAATTAATTCATTAAACATAGTGTCTTAGACTAATGATAATAGCTTATACATTTTTTTTGGTACTGTAATGAATTTAGTTGAATTAATAAGACTTGGGAAGATATGTGTAATGGAAATGCTGACCCAAGATTTTAGGTGATAATGTATCACTACAAAATACTTGCAGCTGAGTTTGACCCATCGCAAATAATGATAAAATTGGTGACTTCCTAATGTGGTCGGATTTTTTAATTTTCTGGGTTTAAGTTGCTTCCAGGATATTTTATTTGTAACTTGGCGATTTTTTTTTCCCAGAAAGAGCGATATATTGTTATTAGCAAAGTAGATGAGGAAGAACGTAAAAGGAGAGAACAGCAGAAGCATGCTAAAGAACAGGTAAATTAATTCCATTTTTTAAAAACTTTCAGATAAAGCCGACAGGTTTTTTTTTTAACTACTTTTTCTTTATTAACTACTGGTCTGTGTCATGTTAATAAGTTGAGGCAAGGTTTTTCATTTCAGAAAAATCTAATTCATGGATTGGAGAAAAAAATAGGTAGTAAAAAAAATTAAAGACAACAAGTAAAAGTGTAGGCATAGCCAACAAAATGAATCATGTTCTTCTGCAATTACTAATACATATTTGACTTCATCTTTGTCCACTCTGCACATATTATACAAGGCAGTCCTATAGAAATTGTTGTTCTTAATCATCATTTAATTTCGCTAAAGGACATTGTCTTTTTGTTTTTGTTTTTTTGTGAGTCAGTGGGGTTAAGTGACTTGCCCAAGGTCCACAGCTACTAAGTGTCAAGTGTCTGAGGCCTCCGGACTCCAGAGCTGGTACTCTATCCATTGTGCCACCTAGCTGCTCCTATAAAGAATATTGTCAAACTTTAACATCTTTAATTTGATTTTTCCATGTCTGCCTGTAAGAAAATATAGTTGAATCCTTGTTTTGGGATGTGACTAACTGGATTATCAACTAGTTCTGTTTTTACTCTGTGTAGTTATATTTTAAAAGATAATCTAATCAGTAGCATATGTAATATGAATTACATATTTAATGTGAGTCTATGAGATTTTGGATAAAGATCTGCTGCATGTTGTTTGTATTCTAGAAACTGTTTGGAAAACACTATTGTAACATTCATTGAAAAACTGCTTTTAAATATTAAGAGGAAAGCAATATAGGAGAAACTATGTTAATGGATTTTTGTAAGAGGTAAAGAATTTCTACTTAGTGAAACATGGAGTTCCTAATGGCATCTGGTTATTTATTCTGAGCTATTTGTTTTGTTGTTGTTCAGTTGTTTTCAGGCATGTCTAACTCTTTGTGACCCCTTTTGGGATTTTCTTGGCAAAGACACTGGAGTGATTTGCCATTTCCTTCTCCAGCTCATTTTCCAGATGAGGAAACTGAGGCAAACAGGATTAAGTGACTTGCCCAGGTCACACAGCTAGTAAGTTTCTGAGGCCAGATTTGAACTCAGGAAGATGAATCTTTCTGACTCCAGGCCTAGCACTCTATCCACTATGCCATGTAGCTGCCTTTAATTCTGCTTAGCAAAATTGAATTTTATTAATGTTCTGATTGAACTCTTCCTATATTGTGTGTAACAAATTTTTATATGTGCATGGGTATCTTTATTTGTTCATTTATTTATTTTTGGTATTTTTGTTTTAAGGCAGTTTGTACTATGGCATTCTGAACTAACAAGGTAAATTACTTCAGTGGATCTCTGATCACATTGCTGTGGGAACTTTTTGCAGTGGTACAGACTGTAGTGCATCTATCTCTTCTCATCCTGTTTGACTTGTCCCTTTTTTCCTCTATGTACATCTTTCAAAGGATGTCAATCGACTGTTACAGGGGAGCCTTGTGGTAGATCTCTTGAAATCACAAAGATACCAATGGAGCCTCTGGGCTGTTAAGCAAATAAATTAGTGGCCAAAATTTCCTTTTGAGGATTCTTCACTTCACCGAAGTATTCATCAGAGTTTTTACATTCTGATTTCTGTTAATCTACTGAAGTACAGTTTATATGACCACATCTTTTAAAAAATATGTTCATGAACTCAAAGTTGATGCTTCTAAGCTATGGTCTATGAGCAGGGGTTGTGACCCCATTCTCTGCAGTTTGTATCATGTTACATGTTCTTTAGAGGGAGCATTCATATAGGAAATGACTTCAGGACTGTTTAATCTTAAAGTCTAAATTTGTTCCTTAGAGTTGAATCAGCAAGGAATTTTCCTTTTGATAAGCTCTTGTTTCATGTTGAATATAATTTGGAGAGTTTAATTTGTCAATTTTTTCTGACAGTTCAGGTCAGGTCTATAAATATTTAGCATCTGCTATTTGTGAAGTGGGGCAATTAGGTGGCACAGTGGATGTAGTGCTGGTCCGGCTTGTGTTCCTGAGTTCAAATCTGGCCCCCAGACACTGTGTGACCCCAGAGAAGTCACTTACCTTGTTTGACTCAGTTTCCTCATTTGTAAAATGAGCTGGAGAAGGAAATGGCAAACCATTCCAGTATCTTTTTTTTTTCTTCAGCCAAAGACAAGGTTTATTAGAACATCGGTCATATTGGGCAGACTGTTAAGGAGTCTGAATGTTAGTGAACTATTCACTAGATTGTAAGAATCTGAGCACCAAGACAAGATGGACCTTATATACAGAAAGGTTGTGGGAGGCATCTCGGAGTGGCCAAGTAGTTTGCTAGAACAGTGAGGTAATAGAATGCCTGGGACCAGGACCACATGGCCAAGAGAGAATGGAGTCTAGCTAGGATTAAGGGTGGAAAGTGGCAGGGGGCCATAGGGAGGTAAGGCAGTGGAGGGCCAGGCTAGGTTAAGGGTAACAGGTAGCCACAATGAAAGGCCTGTTGATGGGATTATAGCCTCAGGGAATGAGATTTGGCCTTGTGGGAAAGTCCAGGGTTTTTCCTTTTTGGGGTCTAGATCCCATCCTCATCATTCTCCCCTCAAGCAAATGGGACCCAAATACTTTTGGGGTAAGGGGCTAAGGTCTCAGCTTCTGAAACTGCTTCCTGCTGGCAAGGGACTTACAGCTGTTCCTGCCTAGAAGAGGTCCCAAAGAGGAGGTTGACTGGAACTGAGCACAGGCTGCATCCAGGGAACGATGAGAGGACATTGGTTGGTACTCGCTGTTTGCTATCAATATAGATGAATGGCCTGTAGTCTGGAAGACACAAATCTGACAGAAAAGACTACAGGGCCTCGATATGACAGGATAAAACATCTTTAGCTCTGTTTGGATTCAAATAACTCAGTTTTCCGACCATGCAGTATCACATCCACCTCATAGCCAGACTCAAGAATAGCCAGGTGGGTAACATTCCTTTTCAAAAGAACATAATGGGGAAACTGAGCCAGGAGGAGCCCATCTTAGACTGAGGCTAAAATTGTCCTCTCAGCTTTGCCTGATGCTGACTTCCTACCAGTATCACATTCTCTCTGAGTAGCTTGTGGCATTTTTCTCAGATGGTGGATTATTGATTATCGATGGGTTATTATGATCAGACAAGTCAAAATAAATCCCACCAGCTTTTATCTCAAACAACAAGTTTCACTAATCACAGTTTAGGATTTACATCTCAAACTTAAATTTGTCTTGGTGTAAGAAGCTGATCATTGGAGATTTCTATACACTTGCAAATTGTCAGCAAGCCATGACCCAAGCAACCCTTTTGGCTAATTTACACATTAAAACAATAACTAACAATAGCCAAATTATTTTTAGCAGTAACCAAATTATGAAAAGTTGCTTGATGGAACTGATACAAAAAGTTCACCAATTTGAAACTTGAAACAAACCCATTACCAATCAGATGATTTCAGTTTTGTTAAATGCATTTCCAAATTACTTTACACAGAGAATCAATATTTCATCATTAACAGTTAAAACTACCACTTTAAAAGAGCTGCTTACCCAAGTTCGGAGGCTAGCTTCTTTACCTTGAGCAGGATGTGCTGAACCTGGGTGATGCTTCCAGACAAAGGCCTACTCTGTAGCTGCTGCCCTTCCCCTCTCCTTCCTTTCCCAGGTGGAGAAGGGCTAAATCAAAGATGAGGGTTAAAGGGTGAAACTCTCTTCTCCTGTGTGAGGAGTTAACAGATACCTTTCTTGACCCAAGGGAAGGGAGTGGGAGAAAGGAGTGACTAGGGCTGTGAGGAGGGGTTTCAAAACTCCTTAATGATCCATCTCAAAACTTCCAGAATCTTCCAAGATATTTTTAGCTGTTCTAACTTTTCCCTGTAACCTCCATGAAGGAGGATTCAGGGGTGTAGAGGGAAGGGAGTAAGTAAGCCTCAGGGAACCAGAAAGCAAATGGGGTTTTCCCCAATTCCTTAGTGCTGGAGAGAATTGACAGAATTGGGCATACACTTCCAGATGGGGCATTTGTCCTTGGTCCTTGTCCTCTATGCTGCGGAAGGTGTCCCTAGGTCCATGGCCTTGAACTGACCCACTGGACTGAGAGTCTGAAAGTGTCAAGTCGAGTGGGAGACAGCCTCATAACTGTGTGCCTGAAAAGTACCTCCAAGCCTTGGTGCGTGGAGAGCGACCCCAACTGCAGAGCAAGAAAGGTGGGGGGGGAGGGGTGCGGAGGCTTATATACCTTCCAGTCTTGGCCGCAGAACTTGGAGTTAGGCAGTTTCCCCATATGGGCCACCAAAATGTTGAGGTTTAGGGGTTCAAGGATTCTGGGACCCCAAAATCAGAACATGCTGGTCCTGTCCAAAAGAATTTGACCGAAACCTTCTTTCAGCCAAAGACAAGGTTTATTAGAACATCAGTCATATTGGGCAGACTGTTAAGGAGGCTGAATGTTAGTGAGCTGTTGGCTAAATTGTAAGAATCTGAGCCCACTCCAGTGTCTTTGCCAAGAAAACTCCAAATGGGGTCACAACGTATTAAGACATGACTGAAAAATGACTGAACAACAACAATCAGCAAAATATTGCATTGGGTGCTGAGTATACAAAGCTGAATAAAACTGTCCTTGACCTCAAGGAGTTTATATGTTGGTAGTGATGAGAATAGTTATTTAAGATATAAAACAACACCTGATAATGGTCTGAGTTTAAGATGAGTGAATTAATTATCAATTGTCTAGAGTTAACGGTGCTATTAAGTGATTGTCTAGGAGGAGTTAACTGCTGTTCTTGTCCTAATACTTGCCAATTAATACAAGGAATTTTTCAAGACTAGGTATAAACCTACTGGAATCAAAGCAGAATGTTCTGAATAAAAGAGCAGGAATTACAAGGATATTTGAGATCAACAGACTACCACCTGTATTTGACCGTATTTGTTCAATTTAATTAAATTCTTTACTTCCCTGCAGTACTTATTTTAATCACCAGATGGCACATTTCTTTAATCAGTCAGAAAGGATTGGAGGGTGGGGCAGGTAGGGAGGAGGCTGAAGAAACACTACCATTTGACTTGTCAGAAGTGTCCAAGTAGTATTTACCCTAATGGGTAATTTCAGGTATCTTATAGAAGTTTCAGTTGACAAATTTGCCATTTGTTGTTGCTTCTTAGTTCTAGTTACTGGAGCTAAAAGTTACTTACCTTCGAAGTTCAGGTGTTATAGTTTTTGAACATTGCAAAGCACACTGTAGCCCAAAATGAAAACCATTCAGAGCTTTTCTGTATTGAGTATTGTATAAAACTTTGGTGCTTCTAATTTTTTATGTACCAACATTTATTTAAACCAGACTTTTTTTTTTTTAATAGGAGGAACTAAATGATGCTGTAGGATTTTCTAGAGTCATTCATGCCATTGCTAATTCTGTAAGTGAACCAGACCGTTTCCTTTAGATAACTTCTATTAAATCCTTGAGATTAACATCTTGAAATGACAGAGTATAGTGTTAATAAATTTAAATTTTTGATAATTTTGGGATGATAAATGTGGAAGAAAATTATTAGATGTTTATAGATAGACATTATTTTTAATGAATTTTAGACATCTAAATTGCAAGGATCTTTATCAAAATGGAAACCTGTTCCTACAGTGTGTGAAAGGAATATACTATATTGTTTTTATTGATTTACATAAAGAAAGGAATCATTGTGGTTTGTGTTTGAAAACAATAACAAATAAGAAGGGAGTTGGGGAGGAAAGCAAAGAATTTGGCAAAAAAAGGATTTTAGGCAGCTCTAAAATTTTTTTAAAAAAATAATTCTTTTTAATGCAGAAAATGCTACAGATAGACAATATGGGAGGGTATGTACTGTTAACCTTATGTTTTTCCTTTTGCTCTAATTGTATTTGGATATTATATTGGCTAATCTTACTACAATTTGATGTGTTTTTCAAAATGTGCTGATAACTTAGGTGAGTTTTACACATGTATTTCCACTTTTCCCTCTCTCTGTCTCTCTCTTCTTCTCCCTTCCCTTTTTCTCCCCCTTCCTTTCTTATTGATGATATGTGCCAGATTGGAATGATATCCATAGTTAGCTATAGACAGATGGTGACGTACGGCATATTGCTCTTCACATTACTGCATCTAGGTCTTACAGATAATTCATGGTGCTCTGTGCCTACAGGTTGGAATCTGGGACCTTCTTCCTGGAACCAAATGTGCTTTGAGAAAAATCTTCTTTTATGTAGTCCCTTGTACTCTGAACTTTGTAGCAGGGAGCATATAAGGCCGAAGAAAGTTCCTAGGACATAATTCTCTGGCCCTCTTTACCTGGCGTAGCATAATGTCTCTCTCTGAGCATAAGCATACTTTGAATGACATTGCCATGATTCTTCCCTTAGCAATAACATTTCTCAGTCATATTCAATTCAACATATTCTTGTGAATACTCTTTATTTGTATTGTGCTGGGGATTGGGAAAGATAGAAAGTTTATTTGAGATATGATGCCTGCCCTTGCAGAGCTTATAGTCTTACTTTTTTTTAATATGGCCTCAGACCCAGCTGTACAGTAATGAAATTCCATAGTAACAGTTTCTCTGAGTGCCTGTTTGTATAGTTCTTATGGAATTAACATTCCCCTGTAAAGTAGTTTCATCTAATGTGCTTTTTATAGAATCCAGTAACGTTATGAAGGGTATACTTATTATCTTGCTGTTATATTTGAGAAAAGCATGCTAGATGAATCCACTTTACAGGGGAAAACTAATTTCATAGGAAACAAAATAAATGGACATTCAACTTCCATTTGGTGATGACATTTGGATCTTCAAACTAGGATGTCTAACAGCTTACCAAATTGAAATTCTACACATTTCTTTTGCCCTACCTCTTCTTTTCTGTGTAATTCATGACATCTTACAGCTATCTTAACAGTAAGGCCAGGAACCATCCTATGGGGAAAAAGAAGCCCAGTTTATAAAGTTCCTCTAACTTACCAAGACATTTTGAAAAACATGTCATAGTTTTAGAGTGTTTTTTATCATTTAAAGCTACTCAGAGATACTGTACATAAATAGTATATTAGAAAGACACCTAATTTGTTAAATAGATTGCTAAACAAGACAGGGGCTTGAGAACATGTGTGATTCCGCAGTTTTCATTCGATAGAACTTATATTCCTATCATTCAAGTTGTTTTAGAGTGGTTTGTTAGCTAAGGAAGGGGGAAAAATCCTGCCATTCTATTGTACCAAACTGATGTCATAATGGTTTTTGTTGAAATGAGTGTTTACCTGCATAGACAAAAAACTCCATTGCTTTGTTCCATTATTTAATTTTTAGTAAATGGAGTAATTGAAAAATTGAAAAAAAAATTTCTTTTATTGTGGAAAATGCTACTTTTAAGAAAATGTCATATATGAACTTTGACATATATGATGATAGTGGTGATATCTGTTTTTGCATCTTGAATACAATTGAATGTTAGTTTTTACTGTTTAGTATTACTGTTGGAGCTATTTTAATTTTTCTGAATTTGTGAAGAAGAGTTTTATTATTAAGAATCCTACAAAGTACATTCAAGATTTTCTTACAAGATGTTTGATAATCCAGAACACTCAACTTTTATAAGTTTGACACTTTTAAAATTAAACTCCCCAAATAGAATTTTAAATTATTTTGGATTATAGAGAATGGGAAGACAATGTCTGGAAAAAAGACAGCTCGGGATCATTTGATCCTTTCTTACCATGGTCCTTTCTCTCCAAATAAAAAAAAATTAGGGGAGGAAAGAGCATAGGCTTTTTTAAAAAAAATAAATTTTATTGGTATCTTTTTTTATGTCACCTATATTTCCCAATGAATGTCTCCCATCCTCTGCCAGAGTCCCTTATAAGAAAGAAATAAAAAAGAGTAAGAAAGGGAGAAAAAATTTCTGTGAAGGTAAACAACATATCCAAAAACCCCTCTAAGCAGTATAGTAAATATAAGTATAACAAATGTCTACAATGGAACCAGAATTGTACTTCTTTGTTCTTTGAAATTGGTATCATATACAGTGTAATGTAATACAAAGAAGTTATTTTATAAACCTAACTCTCTTTAGGGCAAACTTGTTATTGGGCATAATATGCTCTTGGATGTCATGCATACAATTCACCAGTTTTACTGTCCATTGCCTGAGGTAAGTGATTTGCCAATCCTTGTTAACAATTCCAGGTAATACTCTTCTGTATTGTTCTTTTTTAAAATTTATTTATTCATTCATTCATTCATTCATTCATTCATTCATTCGCTAGGCAATGGGGTTAAGTGACTTGCCCAGGGTCACACAGCTAGTAAGTGTTATATGTCTGAGGCTGGATTTGAACTCAGGTCTTCCTGAATCCAAGGCCAGTGCTCTATCCACTGCACCACCTAGCTGCCCCTACTCTTCTGTATTGTACACACACACAGTTTCTTTCTTGCATGTTATGTGTTCCATAGAAAGGAGCTTATTAGGCAATAGAGGAGGTCCTTTAACTTTATATTACTGAAGAGACGTGTACACTATTTTAAGTAACGTCCGTGGTATGGCAGGGGGGTAGTCTTCACTCAGTGTTGTTTACCTCTTTTCTATTGAGAATTGGTTCCTAAATTATAGGAATTTTTTAGGTTGCTGATTATAAAACTAGACACAGAGACATTAGAGGTAGGTGATGTTTTAGGAAAAAATAACAGTTGGGTAATGAAAATATGCATTCTGTCATTCTGGATGATTTTATGCAGGTTTCTGGTCTTATTGGGATTTCTTTCCTTAAAAAAGTTGAAACATTTTTTTTTGATAACAGACTCTTTCTATCAAACACCCAGATTTGCTTCTATATACATTAAATTCTCAAAGATGAGTCCTTTGATTTTGACAGTCTGTCCCATTGATTTACTTCCCACTTTTTAAATCAAAACCAGAAGGTTTTGATTGAATGCTTCTTTATAGTATTATTCAAGATGCAGAAGTGCTGATCTCCCTTTGTCCTTATGTCTAGATCATTTCCCTTGATAGTCTAGATTTTTTATTTTTTCCAAATGAATTTTTGATATTTTACCAACTTCTTTAAAGTATTCATACTTTGGTAATTTTATTGTTATAGCATTAAAAGTATAAATTAACTTTGACAGTATTACCATTTTTATTATGTTGGTGTAGCCTAGCTGGGATCACCTAATATTCCTCTAGCTATTTAAATTCTTAATTTCTTCAAGAAACACTTTGTACTTGAATCTTTTGGGTAACATTATGTGGAAGAGACCCTAGAAATCAATCAGTCTAACTATCCTTGGGGTATGGGCCTGTTATTGATGAACAGTTTAGTAACTTTTCTTGCATAATTCCAAATTGTTTTCCAAAAAGTTTTAGCCAGTCTAAACTAGGTCTTTTGTAATCACTGCCAGTGTGATGGGTGAAAGGTGAAACCTCAGAGTAATTTTAATTTGGATTTTTCTTACTAGTAATTTGGAGCATTTTTTGATGGTGTTATTTATAGTATACATTTGCACTTTTGAAAACTGTCATTTTCCATTATCCTTAAAAGGCTATCTATTGAGGAATGGCACTTAGTCATATTTCTGTGTCCAGTTCCTTATAATATATCTTGAATATCAGTTTTTTATCCTAAGTTTGATACAAAGATATGTTTTTCTTACTGGATACCTCCTTTTTTTTGAATTTTATTTCTTTTGTCATGCTTTTTAATGTAATTAAAAAAGATTGTTTTATGATTTCCTCTGTCATTTGGTTATCATTTTCTCCCAGTCATAGCTGTGAAAAATACTTTTGTTATTTTACCATTTTTATGATGTTACCTTTTATATTTAAGTTACTTTTGGAGAATATTGTAATATATGGTATAAGGTGTTAAACTGAATTTGTTTTTTGCCAAACTGCTTTCTGGTTCTTCTCCTGGTGGCTTATTGGATTTATCCATATCTGAGCTATGTTCCATTTACTTCTAGTTTTTGTTTGTCTGGTCTGTTTCATTTTTTTGTATTTTTAACCGATTACCTAATGATTTTTATAATTACTGCTATAATATGGTTTGAGTTCCAGTAATATTAGTCTTCCTTCCATTCCTAATCTTTTCCCTTGAAATCTTTGACTTTTTTTCCTCATTATTCCTCACTAAACCTTCTCAATTGTAGAATCACAGATCTATAGCTAGAAGGGAATTAGTTCTGAAGTCATCTAGTTTTACCCCTTGTTTTACAAATGAAGAAACTAAGGCCAAGGGACAGTTTAAATCGCTTGTCAGAGGTCACACGGAAAGTAAGCATTAGAGGCAGGATTTGAACCTGGGTTCTCTGACTCGAGAGTCAGTACTCTTTCCTTCATCTCATGCTGCCTTCCTCTTAAGGAGCCATTTTTCTCTGCCCTAGCATATTTAGAGCCATAGTATGTAGAGCCAGAAGAGACTCAAAACATCATCTGGTCCACCTTGCTCACTTTACAGATGAGGAGACTGGTGTTTACAGAGGTGGAATAACTTATCCATCATCTAGTGATCGTAGAGAAGAGAGCCAAGTTCTCTAATTACAGATTCTCTTTCTTAAAAGCAGTGACCTGTTTTCTATCTCTTTTGTGTGTTCACTACCTGGCATTGCATCTTGAGCCTACTGAACTCTTAAAGGCTTAATGAATTAAGCACAATACTTGAGGTGTTTGATCAGTAGCAAGTATAGTGAGAATCCCTTTTCCCAAAAGAGACATAATGTCTTTTTAATAACAGTCAATTTTGTGAACACCTGCAGATTAAGCTTGGAGAATCTCAGAGTTGGAAGGTACTTTAAAGCCCCCCTAGTCCAACCTGTCATCCAGTGTAGTCATTGCCTCCATCACATCACTTAAAAGTAGTCATCCCACTTCTGCTTGTAAATTTCTAGTGATGGAAGGCATTTACTACCTTACAAGGTAGTCAGTTCCATTTTTAACATCTTCAGTTTTAGAAAATTTTGCCTGACATCGAGGGAAAAACTTCTGTTTGTTTTTGCCTGCTGGCAGCCACACAAAATAAGTATTTCACGTGAGCAGCCTTCTGGTAATCACAGACAGTTTCAGTTGTAAAAGCAGAGCCCGCTTCTGGTTTAACATCTGTTATACCTTTGACCAGTTTTCAAGTTTTCTAGATTCTTCACTATCTTTATTACTCTTATGATGACATGCTTTTTGCCATTTGTCAAAATCTAGTGGTACTTTAGAAAGTGCTATGTCCTGAGTCAGAGGATATTGGTTTTAATCCGGACTGCCACTTAATACTTACTGTGTGGCCTTGGGGAAATCACATAATCTTTCTGGGTCTCAGTTCCTTCATCTATGAAATGAGAATGTTGGACTCGATAACCTGTAAAGTGCCTCCAAGCTCTAAATCTTTTTTTTTAAAATTAATTTATTTTGAGTTATCAACAATCACTTCCATAAACTTTTGAGTTTTACATTTTTGTCCTCCTCCCTCCCCACGTGCCTCCCCAAGACGCTGTGCAGTCTGATATAGGCTGTACATATACATTCTTATTAAACATTTTCACATTAGTCATGTTGTAAGAAAGAATTAGAACCAATAGGAGGAACCACGAGAAAGAGGAAACAAAGCAAAATGGACGGAAGAAAAGAGCAAATAGTATGCTTTGGTCAGCATTCAAACTCCATAGTTCTTTCTTTGAATGTGGATAGCACTTTCGATCATGAGACTTTGGGAGATGTTCAAGCTCTAAATCTTTGGTTCTGTGGTTCCCTTCTTGCTATTCTCCCCCTTAGTGGTCTCTTCTCCTACTTTGGTCTCAGTTTTTACTTTTAGAGATAATTTCCAAATCTCTGTCTTCACTTTCAACTACTCTCCAAAACTAAAGTCTCATATTTCCAACTGCATTGAATATCTCTACTTGGATGTCCTGCAAGTGGTGTAATGGATAGAATGTAAGAGTTGAAGTTAGTATAACCTGAGTTCAAATCCCACCTCAGACACTAGGTATGTGACCCTGGCCAAGATATTTAACTTCTGTAGGCCTCAGATTTCCTCATCTGTAAAATTGTTGGGTTGGACTTGATGACCTATAAGTCCTTTCCAGCTCTGAAACTATGGTCCTGTGTCCAGAAACTTGCCCCTCCCCCAATATATCTGTTGCTATTAATGTCATCATCCTCCTACATAATCCTTCTGTAACTTAGGAATTTTGTGTAACTTTTCCATCTCTCTCACTTAACATATTCAATTATTTGCCAAGTTTTGAGTCTTCTTTTTCAGTTTTATGTTGGCAACCTTTTTTTTTTTAAATTTATTTTGAGTTATCAACAGTCACTTCCATAAGCTTTTGAGTTTTGAATTTTCTCCCTCTCCTTCCCTGCCTCCCTCTCCAAGATGGCATGCAATCTGATATAGGCTCTACATATACATTCCAGTTAAACATATTTTAATATTAGTCATGTTGTAAAGAAGAGTTAGAACCAATAGGAAGAACCACAAGAAAGAAGAAATAGAACAAAACAAAAGAAAAAAAAGAGCAAATAATATGCTTCGATCTGTATTCCAGCTCCATAGTTCTTTCTCTGGATGTGGACAGCATTTTCCATCATGAGACTTTTGGAGATGTCTTAGATCCTTGCATTGCTGAGAATTAAGTCTAATAAAGTTAGCCATTTCACAATGTGGCTGTTACAATGGAGATTTTCTTCTGGCTCTTTTAAATATATCCTGGAAACTATTGTACTTGTCTGTCTATTTTTCATCCCTCATCTGACAATATAACCAAACTACCTCATTGTCCTATCATGTGTCTTTGGCGATATCCTTACACGCACACATACACACACGCGCGCGCACGCACACGTATGTGTGTGTGTTATATATATATATATATATATATATATAAATACATATATACATACATACACATGTATATTTGTATTATGTATGTGTGTACATACATACGTATTATATATATTGTGTGTGTGTGTGTGTGTGTGTGTGTAGAAGTAATTGTTGGTAATAATGCTGAAATCTACTTAAATCCTTTATGTATTTTTTTTCATGGCTTTGCAGATCACCTTCAGTTTTAGTTCTTCTGAAATGGAATGTTCCATTATTTTTGGTCATAAAGCATTACAAGGAGAATATTGGTGTTAAAAAGATGGGCTTTTATGAAAATGAGCAGCTTGGTATCATTGAAAATTCGAAATATCTTTTTCTTTCCCCATAGAAAAGTGGGGAAAAAATTCCCAAAGGAGACAAATTTAAGATGAACTTTTGGGGAAAATACGGCTTATTACAGTTTCAACATCATTAGGAAAAATTTTTCCTCTGAACACTATCTCTTTGTGATACATTACTTGTTTTTGGTGCAGATAATAGAAGAAGAGGGGAGAACCCAACTTTGTGTCTTTAGATTCCCAGGGGGAAAGAGAGTAATCTATATCTCATTAAAGCAATATCCTTTTGAATCATAAAAGTACAAGCATTTTCAGGTATTAGACATATGCTTTAGGTAAACTTGGCACGCAGTTTGAAAAAGAGTAATTACAGAAAGATATGGAAAGAGGAAATACTGAACTTTAGAATGAGGCAAAAACTCATCTAGAGTGTAAATGCTTAAGGCAGCTGTTTTCCAAATAGATGTTATCAGTCTTCAGATTAATAGGCGCTTTAACATCTAGAAGATTTTTCTTTCTTACCTAGATGACAGAGAATTGCATAGATTGTCTTCTTCCTTAAGACCAGTAAGTGATAGTTAAGATAGTAGATGGTTTCGTTTTTTAATTGTGATCCAAAGAGAGAGTTGAGCTGGTCCAGAATAGTGATCTGGAGATAGCTGGACGATGTATAAGTCACCATCATGGTGCTGATAATATTCTAATTCAGATCTTTGGGGATGAAGGATGGAACAAAGATGCCAGTGGTTCTCTGGAAGACATTCGTCATTATAGTAGGCACCAGGGTCCCAGGGATGCCGGAGCCACAGCCCTCTGTCTCCCTGATTGGCTCTGTGAGCAAGGCTGGGAGGCCCACCATGGTGCATTTTCTTAAGGATGATTGCCAGGAAAGTCAGGAGACCTAGTTAAGGAGGGAGAACATTTCAGGCATGGGGAATGCCCAGAGAAAATGCCCCTAGCCAAGAGACTAGTGTCTTGTTGCTGAAAAGCCAGGAGGCCAGTATCACTAGACCAAAGAGTACATGGTGGAGAGTAAGGTGTTAGAAAACTGGAAAGATAAGTTATGAAGGGCTTTGAATGCCTAATAGAGCATTTTGTATTTGCCCCTGGAAGCAATAGGGAACCACGGAAGTTTTTTGAGTAAAGGGCTACATGATCAGACCTTGCTTTGGGAAAATCGCTTTGGCGGCTGAGTGGAGGATGGATTGGAGTAGGGAGAAATACGAAGCAGATCTATGAGCAGGCTGTTGTTATAAACTGCGTGTGAGGTAATGAGAGCCTGCACTAGAGCAGTGGCACTGTTAGAGGAGAGAATGGGGAGTATTGGAGAGATATTGCAAAGGTGAAATTGAAAGGCCTTGTACAATAGATTTTGGCTGTGGAGTGAGAATGAATCTTGAGTTCAAGATGACTCCTGGGTTACTAGCCTGAAGGAACTGGGAAGATGGTGTTCTCTGCAATAATAGGGAATGTAAGAGAAGAGAGGGTTTAGGGGAAACAAAATGAGTTCTCTTTTGGACATATTGAGTTTAAGTTGTCTACAGGACATCCAGTTTGCAATATCTGAAGGGCAATTGGAGATGGGAGAGAGGAGGTCAACAGAGAGATTGCTGCAGAAATGTCTAATTTTAGCTCTAGCCTAATAATATTGCTTTCAAAATTGTCAGGGTAGCCTGAATAGTTGGAGATCATATGTTTTTACATGCCTGACTTTAACAAGTATCTTAAAGAGGTATTTGTATGCTTACTAAGTGCTCACCCTGCTTTTTAGTGTGTCTGTTTGCTGAATGAGCAGGTGTTTTTTTTTTATAACTTAGATAAATCTGACATATGCTCATAATTTTAATGTACTTGGTCTTATATGAAACCACAAGGTGTTACCTCTTACTAGACTCAGATTTCTTGGTTACATGCAAGTATTTAGAATGAATAAATAAACAAAGTGCTTACAAAGCGCTTACTACGTGCAAAGTATTGTGCCAAGTGGCAGGGATGTAAATAGAAAAATAAAACAGTCCATACTCTCAGGGAACTCACATTTTAATGGAAAGACAGCACACATAGCAGGTTTCAGTTGCAAGTCAGATGAAAAGGTGCCATGGTCCTCAGGGTGCAGCAACAAAGCAAATGTTAATGTTTCTTCTTTAATAATGTTTCCACTGATAAAATCATATCAGTTTCTGATGTTGAACCATTTGACAAAGATTTTGATGGCAAGAACTTTCTTTTCTGAGTCTTCAGTAACTGTAGCTATAGCATCTGCAGGAGCAGTTGCCAGGCTGAATCTCCACAGGGGATGTTTCCCAAGATGACTGTAGGCATTCAACCAGAAGCATTGCCATTCCTTAGGTTCTTGGGTTGAGCATCCTGGGCTGTCTTCATCAGTGTGTGAGAGGGGAATTGTGGTCAAGGGTGGTGGTGGGACTGGCCTGTCACATGCTCCTCCCTGTCTTTCTCTCAGGATGCTTTGCTACTTTAGCTATGGGCCTATAGAAGAATATAACCTTATGAATTTTTTCAGAAACATCAAGATTTTTTTGTATGATTAATTAGTTCAACAGTTTTTCATCGGTACTATTATTTTGTAAGCACACATTGTTGTTCGAATTTTGAGTTTTCAAAGGCTCTTATGAAATAAAATCTCAAACAGAAGTAGATCTTAAAGTTGTTAACTTTAGAATGCCTTTCTGAGGTGCCACAGTTCATTTGGAAAGTTTCTGGAAACATTCCTACAGAAAGGACAAAGCCCTGGATTTTGAATTTTTCGTATTGAACATAACAATTTATGGTTATGAATATAGAATATGTCAATCTAGCTATAATGAGTTGATGTTTTGCATTTTAGGACTTAAATGAATTTAAGGAGGTAACAACATGTGTCTTCCCCAGGTAAGCTTTCTTTTTAGTGTTATCTTTCACATGAAATAGCATTTGCCACAGATATATTTGGAGTTGCACTATATGTATACTGTAATTTCATGGGACTGTGAGCTGGAAGAATAGGTTGATAGACTCTTATCTCTTGTGGATTATTTACTGATGGTTTCAAAATTTTAGCTTTGTGATTATTTTTGGAATTCCTATTTTATGAATTCTCAAAGTAAGACAGCTTGGGTGTTGGCACTGAATCCATGGTGCGAGAGGGTATTTTGTCTTTTTCTCTCTCTTCATATGCATTCTGAAATGAAAAGAACTGAGGAAATTTGCTGAGATGATGATTTCTTGTAAAATTATTGAATCTTAAAGATATTGAATAGTCTATAGAGTGCTTTGTAGAGAGGCAAGATATAAGAGCAAGTGTTTTTAGCCCTTAAATTCATTGCCTTCAGATTTTAGTGCCTTGGAACAATTAAAGTTGATTTTTACTTCTGGAAACGTCAGGTCAAATATTAAGCACAGAGAATTCAGACATTTTCTATAAGATGAAACTCAGACCTAACACTATCTGAAGACTGGGAGAGATTTTAATGGCGCCAACCTGCTCTAGGTATACTATTCCTGTACCTCATACACTGAAATTATTTTTCTGTGGTGGAAAACAGTAAGTTTTTATGTTACACTAGTTAATTTTTTAAATTTCTCATCCATATAGCACTATAGTGATAAAGTATCACAGATCTTTAATGTTATTCATGAGTATAGGAATTCAGATGGAAAAGTTGAGTAGTAACATTTAACGGTAGAAATTATATAATGGTATGAGAATATTCTGTCCTTGAAAATATCTGAAGAAGATTAAAAAATGTATGAACCCTCAGCTTGCTATTTAAAGTCCTTTGCATCCTGGTTCCAGCCTACCTCTCTAGTAAGTACATTACTACCCCTCATACAGTCTATAATACAGCCAAACTGACCTACTTGGTCTTCCCTGAACTGGCCATTTAAAAAAAAAATTGTTTCCTGTTAACAAGCATTTATTTTCAATCCTTCCCAATCTTCCCTTGATTTGAAAGAAAATAAAAACATTTGTAACAAATATGGTTAGTCAAAACAAATTTTAGACATTGTCAGTGCCTAAAAAACACGTTTCATTCTGCATCTTGAGTCCATCATCCCTCTGTCAGGAGGGTAGATAGCATAATTCATCATTATTAGCCCTTGGGAATCATGGTTGGTTATTGCTTTGATTGAAGATCTTAAGTCTTTCAAAGGTTTTGTTTTTACAGTGTTGTTGTTAGTGAATAAATTGTTGTCCTGATTGTGGCCACTTCACTGTATCATTTTATACAGATTTTCCCAGGTTTTCTTGAACTCCTATCCCTTTCATCATTTTACAACAAAATATTATTCCATTGCAATAATATACTGTAATATGTTCAACTGTTCCCCAGTTGATGGTAACTCCTTAGTTTCTAGTTCTTTGCTCCTACAAAAAAGGGGTTATAAATAGTTTAATTAATACATATATGTCCTTTTCCTCTTTCTTTGATCTCTTTGAAGTCTGGATATATTAGAGGTATCAGTGAGTCAAAGGCTATTCATAGTTAGGAGACTTTTTGGGCGTGGTATCAGATATTTCCAAAATAGTTGAACTGGTTCACAACTTAGTGATTTGGGTGCCTGTTGTCTTATAACCCCTCCCAACCATTTAATTTTCCTTTTTTGTCATCTTTGCCAGTTTCCATTTTTCTATTTATTAATGATTTGGAACAATTTTTATATTGCTTTTTATAGCTTGAGTGTCTTCCTTTGAAAACTGACTTCATAGCTTTAGAGCATTTATCAAATGAGGAATGGCTCTCATTCTTATACATTTCAATGATATCTTTATATATCTTGGAACTGAGAACTTTATCAGAGAAATTTGCCACAAAGATTTTTTCACAGTAACTATTTCCCTTCTAATTTTAGCTACATTGATTTTGTTTGTGCAAAAAATTTTTAATTTTATGTAATCGTCATTGTCTTTTATTTTCTGTGACCGTTTTTATCCATTGTTTTGTTATGAGGTCTTTGAACTGTCCATTTGATTTCTTACTTCCATGCCTTTGCCCCATGCTTGGAAAATGTTCCCTCTTCCATTCTTCTTCTTGGAGTCCTTATCCTTAATTCAAAGTTCAAAACCTACCTCGCAGGGTTGTTGTGAAGATCAAAAGAGATAATGTATTTAAAGTACTTAGCACAGCACCTGGCATGTTAAAGATTCTTTTTTTTTTCGGTTGGGCAGTGGGGTTAAGTGACTTGCCCAGGGTCACATAGCTAGTAAGTGTTATGTGTCTGAGATGGGATTTGAACTCAGGTCCTCCTGAATCCAGGGCTGGTGCTCTATCCTCTGTGCCACCTAGCTGCCCCCACATTAAAGATTCTTGATAAAGGTTTTTTTTTTCAACCCCTACCCCTGATTTCCCCATGTGCCACCTAAGCTGATCCTCCTATGTATAAGTCTGCTCTCCATCATCAAATTATCTTGTATTTACATATATGTATACATATTGTATCTCTTAGTATGGTATAAGCCCTTTAAGGGCAGGAACTTTTTTTATTTTGTCTTTCTTTGTGTCATTAGCTCTTAAAGTGGTGCTTTGCTTATAACAGACACCTAATGCATGTTTGTTGAATTAAGTTAGATTGAATCATCGTATTCTCTATGTTTTGGTAGAAGAGGAACATGTCAGTTCACTGCTAGAAGTACCACTACAGAGGCAGGACTCTTCCAACAAATACCTCTGTTTGCATTGCTGCTGTGAACTGTTTAGTAAAATACAAGAAGATTTCTAGCATATTTATATTAACATAACTGGAATATACATTTTAATCTGAAGATTAGAGAAAATTCTCTTCAATGCATTTGGCAACACTAGCCTTTTTTTTTTTAACTTTGAGAAGATCATATCCAAATAAGTAATAAATGAATTTTTTGGTATCAATTACATTTTGTTTACATTTTGACCATTTTTAAATTTTAGGTTACTGGATACTAAACTGATGGCAAGCACACAACCTTTTAAGGTAATTTCCAAATCTGAGTTATGATGCCAATTTTTTACAATTTTTCTTTTTAAAAAAACTGATACCTTTTGTAACTGAGGTATTTTTGTAACCATTTGACATTTTTCAAGTGCCTATCATATAATTGAAATGATTAAGTATTGTGGCAAAGGCATAGTTTTGCCAAACCATTACCTACTATAGTACTGTAGAAAGATTCATCCAGAAAAGACCTATTCTGATTATAGCTACATACTAAATATAAAACCTGCCTGCTTAGTCTATTTAGTAAACTTTGACAGCTGCGAGTGTCACTAAAGAACATAAGGTGGCAGTACTCATTATATTTAGTAGTTAACTATCATCAAATATAGTTATCCAATACGATATATAATAATTGCTTGGTTTTTGCTTCTCTTTGCAGGATATTATCAACAACACATCCCTAGCAGAACTGGAAAAGCGATTAAAAGAGGCACCATTCAGCCCTCCTAAAGTTGGTAAGAGTTTAAGGCAATGAAGCTTTTTGATTATGAATTAATAAACTTAATTGATGTACTCTTTAATGAGCGGAAGTTGTCGTAGAATTCACAACTAATGAATAACATTGTTTGTATTGCTGGTTTCTGATTAACCATGTCTGTGTCCTGTTTAAATGTGTTCTTAGTTGGATAGCTTGTTCATTGAGGAGCAAAGTAATTCAAACTTATATATCATCATTTGATACTGGTGGCATTTTTCCAGTAATAAAAAGGATTTTTTTTTTCTCCAAGGCGTATCCTTTTAATCTAAAGGGATAACTGCTTTTGGTTAAATACCAACACTATAATTTTTTGTGTACTTGGCAAGTTTGAGAACTGTGCCTCTAGACTGGGAGGAATGGAAATCCCCATACCCTCTGTTAACCTGGTATGGGAACGGAAGCAGGGCAAGTAATCAAGATAGCAATTGAGAAAACTGAACATATGGAGGAATGCTTCCAGATGGAGAAACATTTGGTCTTACTACATCTGATCTATTCCTTTATCTCTTTTCCAAACTGTATACATAATTTGTTTACATTGGCCTAATTGTGTCATTGTTATGTGCTCCAGAGATACTTCATTAGATTCCTCTAGTGTGTGTGTGTGTGTGTGTGTGTGTGTGTGTGTGTGTGTGTGTGTGTGTGTGTGTGTGTGTTGTGAGGCAGTTGCAGTTAATGTGTCTGAGGCTGAATTTGAACTCAGGTCCTCCTGACTCCAGGGCAGGTGCTCTATCCACTGCGCCACCTAGCTGTCCCTAGATTCCTGTAGTTTTAACTGAAAATTTCAAGTTGTCATAGATTAATGCTTTATAACTTTCAAAGTACATTACCTTCAAACATCCTAGATTATAGTTAATTGTTTTTCTTTCTAGATAATTAGCTCAAGTGAAAGGGATAAAAGAAAGAAAGAAATTTAGATTATTCCTAATGGATGACTTTAGAAAATGTGTGTGTATGTGTGAATGAAAGAGCTGGTGGGAGATTTAAGGAATTAACTTATGTAGATAGGGAACATTTTTGAAAAGACAAAAGTTTTAGGCATAAAGTATTCTTATTTATTATCTTTTGGTGGTTAGGAAATTATCTGTGATGAACATTATATTGATGTAAAAATGCCTTTTTTTTTTTTGGTGAGGCAGTGGAGGTCAAGTGACTTGCCCAGGGTCACACAGCTAGTAAGTGTCAAGTGTGTGAGGCCGGATTTAAACTCAGGTCCTCCTGACTCCCAGGCTGGAGCTCTATCTACTGTGTCACTTAGCTGCCCCAAAATACTTTTTTTCTTTTAAGGCAATTGGGGTTAAGTGACTTGCCCAGGATCACACAGCTAGTAAGTGTCAAGTGTTTGGTCTGAGGTCAGATTTGAACTCAGGTCCTCTTGACTTCAGGGCCGGTGCTCTATCCACTGCGCCACCTAGCTGCCCTTTTTTTTTTTTAAACTATTACTTACATTCATTATTTGATTTTGCAGCTTTCCCGGCTTTTATCTTAAATGATCAAGGGAATATTGTATTGATTTGTCCAACTCTGTTATATCTATTTTTGTGTGTTATTTTATGCTTGCACATTGAAACTTCCGGTATGCCTGTTTTCACAGTATAAGGCAGGACTGTCTCAGGTAGATTTCATCCAGATAGGTTTAATTACTCCCTCCTTCCCCACCTCTTTCAACCCCAGGGTAACTAAGTATGATATAATAATAAAAGGTCTTTGAGTTGGCCTTGTCAGTAAGATAGTTCCATAGTATTGACTGTAAGGACAGATAACATTATTCTGAGGATTTGGTATTTTTTTGGATTCAATTGTGCTTTCACATTGTGTTGCTTAAATTTGGAGATATAGTACAGAAATTCCCTGGGAAATGTTCTGAGCCTGAGCCATTAGTCTAACTTTTCAGCAAGTTCAGGCCTGTTAGTTTGGGTTCTACTTGTTAATGTAATCTTTAAGGTAAGAAATCTTTTCTTGAATTTGGAATGGTTTCAGAAGTAGAATTTTTGGCATTAGGGTACTTATTGGTTGGCAGTATTAGAGATTTGGTTTCTACTTTGGGGAGGCTAAGTTTTGCAGTTTCTAAGGTATTAACCATTAAAATCAGGTGAAGGTGTACTTTCCGAGTTCTAAGATTTACAAAACTGAAATATTTGCAGATTAGATACTCTTTGACTGATGTTTGATAAAGTTAATATTATTGTGTAGGTAAGGCATTTGACATTGCTATAGATAGCAGCTTTTGTCAGGAAGCATATGAACCATATCAAAGTAAGTCTTGGGCTGTGGAAGAAATAGAAAATATTTAAACTACTGAAATAAATTTTTTACTGAAATAATTTTTTAAGATATGATTTTATGGTCACATAGGATATTTCTGTAGAGATTATTAACATGATGGAGTTCGGTGTACAAAAGAGGCATCATTATATTTCATGACACTCTTGGGAAAACCATTTTTTTTCTTTCATTTTAGAAAGTGCAGAAGGATTTCCAAGTTATGATACTGCATCTGAACAGCTCCACGAGGCAGGCTATGATGCGTACATTACAGGACTGTGTTTCATCTCCATGGCTAATTTCCTAGGTATTATATGCATGCCAATATCAAGAATTCATATAATTGAGTGGGGGGGACTTACTTGTCCACCTTTTCTTATGACCCACTCATTTGGAGGTGGGAAGGGTGTATGAGTGGAAATCAGAGTAGAAAGGGAAGCTATGTGGGAGAACTTCTGAGCAGGGAATGGAGTAATTTTCCCTCCCTGAGCCCTTCAGGCAGTGTGGAACTTGGTTCTTATGAGTACTTTCATCCCTTACCAAACTTGTTTGTTAATTTATATAGATATGTTTTTACCTGAATTTTTAGACCTCATATACATAGTAATTTATAATATCCTGCCTCTTTTTTTTTTTAGGTTCTTTTCTCAGTCCTCCAAAAATTCATGTGTCTGCCAGATCAAAACTCATTGAACCTTTTTTTAACAAGTAAGTAATCCATGGTTTCCAGTGCAGAAATTATCTGATATAATTAAGAAGGGGGTTAAGCATCATGGAAAGTGAATGGTCTGCTGATGAGGGATAATTTTTGAGGGGAATTTATTTATTGGATAAAGTAATTACCTGTGGCAATCTGATTATTTTTTAAAATGATAAGATAAGCTTTTGGGGTCATTTTAAACTTGGCTAGTATATGTATTAAATAAGTTGGTAAAAATGAAAGATAATTCCAAAATAAAGTGATATTCTTAAAGATAAAAGCATAATTAAACTTTTATATTTAACTTGATTATTTCCAGTTGAAGTATTTTCATTTTGCAGTTCTCTTAATCCCTAAGTTGATTAGATGAAAAATTAACTAATATTAATATGTCACTTGAATAGAACATGTTGATTTTTAGAAGATGTTATGTATTTAAGCTACATTTAAGAAAATATGTGGAAAAATCCCATGGACTCTCTTCTATAATTTTAAAAATAAAATCATAGTAAAATCCCACTAATCTGTCCTAATTGGAAGAAAGTCATTGAGTTCTGAAAAAAACTAGAGTTCTGGAACTTTTTCAAAGAATTGTGATTTTATTGCTTTGAAGTACAATATGCTAGCCCAAGGGTTGGGAACCTTCTCATGTTGGAAGGCCACATTAATATTTAGCTTGTAATCAGATAAGACCACATTCAAGAAACTTCAATTAGATATACCTAACAGTGTACATTATTTTGTAAAAATCCAACTACTATATACTTAATAATTTCAAAAAATGAAAACTGTTTGTTAATTTTAAAGTTAATTAACCTTTTAATGACTTTGTCGTGTCTGCTTTTTGTTGGAAAGCATTTGAATATTTGGTTGCAACCTGGAGGTCCACAGTTTCAGTTAATCCTCTAGATGGGTATCAGTCATTTGTGACCTGAAGGGTATTTTGATTTGGGTTAGGTAGGAAAATGTAGATTTGCAGCAATAAGTGATTGAAAATCTAGCAAACATTTTTCAGGCATGTTGCTGAAGGTGTGGGTATTCTATTGCATTTTTCCGTGTTTCAATTGAATCTTTCTTAGCATCAAACAGTGACTAAAATGTCATCTACTGAGAGCTCAATCAGTTTCATTTGTAGTTCTTCAGATGCCTTGGTGATACCACCTAGGTGAGGCTGAAATACTAATTTGACTGTGGTGTTAATAATTCTCAAAGTCAGTGAACTTTTCATTGTATTCTCCAATTAATAGGTCTATAACAGCTACATATTCTTCAAATGATTCCCATATATCGTACTGCTCAACTGGGGGAAATGTTTGTCCAAAATTTTCTTTTGAAGAAGTGTTTTAAAAAAAGATAGCTTTTTTTGAAATGCTTGGATTTTTTTTTTTGCCACATATCATGTATAGACTTAGTTTTACTTTGCAAAGAAATATTCAAGTCATTTTGACTTGATATGATATCATGCAGAAATGCAGCATTCCGGTAGAAATATTTCAATAATTCACATTGCTGATTCTGTTCTTCGTAAAATTTAACTATATGTTTTTGCAGAGATTAAATTTTGGCTAATACCTGTCCCTGTGATAGCCAACAGACTTTAGAATGGTATGGCAAATCCACACTGAATACCTCATCATCCACCTTTAGCATATTAGGAAACTGATGATGCCGTGTTGCATTTGCATGAATATAGTTCATTTTAAAAAATAAAATATAAATATAAAAGATAAACTATATTAATAAAAATAAAAGAATTTGTTCTATAAAATTTGGATTCAATCAAAAGGCTGTACTTAAGGACCTAGAAGGCCACAGATTCCACACCCCTGTGCTAGCCCATTTGCTTACAACATACCTCTAATGAAGTTAAGGTTCCAGTTTGATCCTTGAATGAGCCACTTAGGTTTGTTCTGTGTCATGGTCATGGACTTACTTATGGCTGTCTTATAAATGTATACTGTTTATCCTGGTATAGACTACTGAAAAAGTGTGATTTAAACAGCACACACCCATCATTAGTACTAGGAAGAATAAATAAAAATATTTATCTTTCTGACCTTGACATCATTTTCAGTGTATTAAGGGTGGCATGTTACATATAGATAGATAAGAATAATTTATAATTAGAACCTTCACATAAATGTTTTACCCTACAAAGACTAAATATTTCTATTGTTTGTACTTTTATTCTGCAAACTCCTTTTTCCACAGATAATAAAGATTAGAAAGAATCATCATAGATTCTGAATTTGTATAGCAAAGGGAGGAAGAATAGATAACCCGGAAGACAGGAATTGTTATCTGTTATTTTATGTTGTATATGCTACAGCAATTACCATATTGTGCTTTTAAAGCATAGTTTAATTAACAGGCAGGACAACAGCTTATTCTATGAAGAGAACCATTAAGTAATTTCTTATGCTTTACTGCCAGCCATCTCATAGTTCTGCTTTAATTTAACTTTTATTTTATAAAAGTTCTCAGAAAAATAGCTTTTATTAGTTTTTAAAACATTTAGTTATCTCTTTCCATTGCAGTAAGTCCCTGTAAATGTGGTTAATACATAACATCTGCTTTACATGCTAATTTATTCCCTGTCAGCCATGTATGCCTATCAAAAGAGAAAGCTTAATTCTAAATTGTATTCCTTCCTTAAAGATTTGCAGTTCATTTAAGTTGGTTTAATATCATGGCAGATACAGTCAAAGAAACTAACCAGATGCGCACAATTTTATTGTAATAAAAAACAGTTAACTTGGTGAGCATTTTGCTAAATGTCGATGGGTACAAAATGTGATTGAGCAGGTTGGATTTGGGAAACCATCTCTGAAATCTCTCTATGAAGCCTTGCTTAACCTGTTTAATTTCTCATTGTTTTTTTTCCCCCTTTATGTTAAGACATTCTTTTTTCTGACTCATTTGAAAGTCAGCCAGTACTTGAAACATGAAGTAGTTAACTAATTTTGTCATACTGCACTAGGCTAAGATGATCAAATGCAATCAGTCAATACAAACTCAACTTCTTAACCTGTTTAGAAAGTGAGAAATACAAATGATTTGGGGCACATTTTTCTTTAAATTGTTATTGACCTTATCCTAATTGATGTAACATTTCCTTTTAAACATAGGTACAATTTCTGTCTTTAACAGCTTGATTTATTAAACTGTCTCTTTGAGGAAAAATACTCAACAACCATTTGCAAGCTCTTCGTGCAAATCTGTGGTTTTTGTTATTTTATGGAGATATATACATATATATATATATATATACACACACATATATATATTTATTGATATGAATAAATTCTTAGGGTATACATGTTTGTATCAGTTATGAGTAAATATGAACTTTACTAAGCATGTATTCTTTAGATAGCAGACAGCGCAAGTGTATAAATATTATTTTATTCTTCTTGAGCCAGACTCGTGTATTTTAAAAGTAAATAAATATGGCTCCCCTCACTGTTACTCATCCTTACCTCTACCCAAAACAAAACACAAAACCTCAAACCTTCCTTATTTTTCATTATCCCAAATTAGCATTCATATTTATCTTTATTAGTGATCACTTTTGGGAATTTTAGATAGCTGGAGCTTAGGCAGTATGTGAAGACTGAATATGGATTAAAAGGGCTTTTTAACTCTCACATTTCTAGAAAGATGCAGTTTTATTGCAAGACTTTATTGCCTTGCAACACTTTGCTTTTGGTTCCACATGAAGTACTTGTTTTGTTTGACTTTTCGAGGGCAGGGTAGAAGTACTGGGAGAGTGTTGTATTTTAGTTATTGAAGTGAATTTCAAGCTACTACTAATGGTAGGGTTATTTTTAATAACATTTCCTCTTGTTTGTCTTGGAAACTTTTATAGTATAGAAAAGATTTACTGTCTTTTATAGCCTTGGTCAGTTTTCATCAATAAGTAGAAAAAATAGATTTAAAGCAGATCCTTTTAGTCTGGAACAGGCTAAAAAGTATTCTTTGCTTTCGTATTTCACTGTACCATAGAAAGTACACAATCACATTTCTCATTTTTAGGAGGCATAATCTTTTTTTTTTAGTAAGAATTTCTTTGGAACACTCTGAATCTTGCATGGAATTGTAGACAGCCTTTTATTAGCTTATTTTTGAGAAGATTGTGTTTCTTTGTTGCTCTAGTTCTCTAAAAATCAATGGAGGCAGAATGAGCATTGGGTGTGGAGTCAGGAGATTGGGGCCTGGGTCCCAACTTTCCTGGCTACTGAACATAGTTAGGACTTTGGAACAAGTCGCATCACCATTTTTGTCTTCAGTTTCCTAAACTTTGAAATGAGGGAGTGAGATGCTCTCCAAGATCCTGTCTAGTTCTAATAAGGCAAAGGTCTGTGAATGAGATTGTAGTTTTATAGAGTCTGAGCTAACTTTTGTCTGTGTAATAAAAAAAAAAGATGTGTGTATTTGCCTCATGTGGTTTTTGTATTGTATTATTGTTGCTATAGTTGTGCTGCCTGAGATGAGGTTGCTTTATTTCCTTTTCATAGTGTAAGGACTTTGGAACAGCAGAGATGCAGAGGGCTAAGAAGCCACAATTGAGATAGTAAATCTTATAGAGGATGCTAGGAAACAAGGAGGAATAGTTTGTACATTAAATATGATATTACAGGATAAAGATTATTTTTGATGAAACTGAAGAAAACTCGTACTGGGAGAATTTGATTTACATGACATGATAGGATGATTTGTGGTGAATTATAACTTTGAATGATGATAATATATGGAATCATCTTGGCGATGAACAATGAAGTGGAGGTAAAATTAGAGTGCCATTTATAGCACATGAAGAACATTTCTTCCTCTTCATTCACTATCTGTTTATAAAATATCAAGCAATATCTCACTATTTAAATTGATATGTATGTAATGGAGGAATCTAAGATTGCTGTGATCTGGAACACATTTTTCAGAGTGTTATTTTTAAAATTAGTGCAATTAAGGAAGTTTTGGAGAATTATTTAATTTTGTGTGTTAATGA